GCTCCATCGATGTCCTCGAACAAATTGCAAGAGGAAGAAAGTCAAAATTTTCAACAAGGTTATTTTATTACTCCGAAAGGAAAACGCAGCATGGATGAAGAGTACTTTTCGTCCGTCAGTTCTCGTAAAGGATCTGGTGCAATAAATATAAAGTTGCCATACTATGGTAGTGCTTCCGGTACAAACTACAAAGTTATAGCAATAGATAATAAGGACATCGTGTCTATTTGCAATTGCAAAATAAAGATCGATCAAGTGCGACTTCTAGAGGATCCCAGCAATATTGCTTACTCAAAAACTGTTCAGCAACTGCTAGAAAAGAAACATGATGGGAACAAGTATCCTCCAGCGCTAGATGCTGTAAAAGGTATGTTCTCTGGCTTTACAGTTTATCCACTGAGGCCAATGAACAAATTTCATAGAGTGTAAACGGTTGTTCTGCAATATTCATGTAAATTATGTGACTTAAGAATGCATCAACATTTTTCTCAATCCAATCGATCACTGTTCACAACAAATATCAGTGTCCTTCATGAGGCATCAGGTGAAAATCGGTTTGAATGCTAATTAACATGTTGACATAATTTGGTCATAGCATATGTTCTAGCTGTCTCAGGGACATGAAGATAGGTGTAGTTATAAATGGTATGATTCAGGATCTCTCTTCGGTGTCCATTCCAGACTGAGGACATTTGATTCTTGCAATGCATATGTTGTGCTGCTAAATTACATGATATGTCATATGCTAGGGGCACTAACCTTTGACTCTATGTATGCACAAGCACATGCACTTGGATATGCATTTGTAAATATGTATGTCAATGTTCATGGACAAACTTATTTGTGTGCGAATTCTTTGAATTTGTATGGTTCATATATACCGTTCTCAAATTATTGTTTATATATTTATTTATTTATACACTTTTGAGTGTTACATGCCATTCTGGCATACATGTATATGTATAATCAATAAAGTTTTTCACCCATATATCTTCTAAGGCTATATGTACAAGAACATACCATCAAGAAGATATAAGCAAATGTCACATTCATAAGGATATGTACAAAAACTTATTGTTAAAAGGTTATTATGTAAAAAGTCATGTTGTGTACATACAAGAATAATGACAGCATGTGCTCGCGTTGTGTTTTAAGACGTGCATGCAATCTTATCAAGATACCATTCACAGACTCCAAGTTAACACTACTTTCTCCATATCATGTACTTGAGCTAAGGTTTGGCAACAGTAGAGTGGATTTAGCATTTGTCTACATAAATTAAGCAAACCAGGTTATTGATTCAGTCTGAAGGGCAAGTGCGATAAATTTCAAGTACTATTAGTAACTTCTTTTTTTACTTATTTGATTTGATGTACTTTCTTCAGGACTCAGTTCAAGAGAGGACGTAGCCTATGTATCATAGTGGAAGTATTCCAAGTCTATTTAGCAGGAGTAGCTTTCTCTTTAGTATCTGTGATTTGATAGAAAATTCTATGTTCTAATGTTGCAGACTTTCTTTTTTTGTGAATAGAGTATCTCCCTCCTGTCCTTTCTTTTCTCATTCCTTTTCTCTTTGTACACTGCTTAGATCTCAAGTTGAGGGACATGGATCTTGTGCAAAGGTATCATAGCTACAATAAATTGTTGCAAAATATGGCTGAGAACAAATGCCATGGATGTATAAAGTTTAATGAGCATATCATGTTGATAAAGGAGCAAAACAGGCACAAAGAAGAAGTTAACGCTTTAAAATATCAAATGTCAGATGACGCACTCCAGCAAATGCCAGATTTTCAAGGCCGGGTATGTTTAATGCAAATACTAGTTCTTTCTTTCCTGGTGCATATCATCCAATAATTTGGATGCTAGTATCAAGAGGATTTGATCCAACATGATTCTGTGAAATGCTATAGGTTTTAGATCCCAAATCGGATTGTCAATAGGATCTGCGGTCATGACTAATAACTAGTAGTCAATAACGGCGGGTAAAGATCCATGTAGCCAATAGCCAACCCTAAGTAGTTGGGATGGTATGGCTTCTTGTTATTGTTGTTGGGTTGTCTCTTGCCTAGACTTAATAACAAGTAAATATCAGAATTTCATTTTATAATAGAATTTTGAGTTGAACTACTACCACCTAAATGCAGTTGTGAAAAAAAAAGAAAAGAAAAAAGAACAGCATTGGCAATTAGCATTTAGCAATCACTTATCAATAGTTTTGATTTGTTTAGATGTATTGAAATGCATAATGGTAGTCTACAGAAATTAATTAACTACTTTTTAAATATGCAGATTGATGTGCTGAAGGAGATCTATTGTATTGATTCTGATCTTGTTGTTCAACTAAAGGGCCGAGTGGCCTGTGAGATGAACTCTGGGGAGGAATTGATATGCACAGAATGTTTGTTTGAGAACCAATTGGATGATTTAGAAGCTGAAGAAGCGGTTGCAATTATGTCATCTCTTGTTTTCCAACAGAAGAACACTTCTGAACCATCACTTACTCCTAAGCTGGCTTATGCTAAAAAGAGGTAGTATTCCAGTTGATATATATATTCTCCACTAAATTACACTATAAATTTTCCTAGTGATGCTTTATTCGGGATAAATCTTTAACATAGGAATCAATTACCAGTAATTTTCACAATAACAGATACTGACTTTTTTTTCCCCTTAAGGTATATAATTTTGTCCGATTGCAAATTAGACCTTACATGTGGATCCATTGAATAATTTATACGGAGCTTCTACTAGTTTTATTAGTGGCTAAAACTTTATCGTGATATGACAAATTGATTCCAAGGGACTGTGAAACTTGGTTTCTAGTGATTATGTAACTTCCAGTGAATTTTATAGAAATTAGCATTGACAGCATTTGCTTAATTGTACTTATGAGCACAATTCAGTTTGGGAGGGATATTTGTAATTTGTATTCGTTTGTTTATAATGGTCACTAACGTTTTCTTGCCTGCCTTCATTAGGTTATACGATACAGCAGTTAGATTGGGGCAGCTCCAATCGCAGTTTAAACTAGCTATTGATCCTGTGGAATATGCACGAGAGAACCTCAAGTTTGGTCTTGTCGAAGTTGTATATGAATGGGCAAAGGTCTTTCCGTCTATCCCAAAAGAAAATCACTGTAGTTTACATGGTTCGGGAAAGATTTCATTCTGATGTTTTCACGGTGCATTGCAGGGGACACCATTTGCAGATATATGTGAACTCACTGATGTGCCCGAAGGTCTCATAGTAAGAACTATCGTGAGACTGGATGAAACATGTCGTGAGTTCAAGAATGCAGCCTCAATAATGGGCAACTCTGCGCTCTATAAGAAGATGGAAACAGCTTCCGATGCTATAAAGCGTGACATTGTTTTTGCAGCTAGTTTGTATGTAACAGGAGTTTGATTCCAGTTGAGTGGCATTCTCAACAATGTTCCTAACATAACCTTGTATACCCTTAGAAGAGCCGGTGGAGCATACCGATATCTTCCTAAGTTTCATCCTTTATTAGTTCTTCATGCCTCTCGTTGGCAGGAGCCTTAGTGTACAAGACATGTCCTTTGGTTAACATCACAGGATGTAGTTAGTTTAGTGATCAGGGTTTTTGATTTTAGTGATCAGGTTGTAGTTAACAACATTACTAGGCATCTCTCGCTCGAATTCTGTAGTTCTTTTATCCACCCTGTTGTTCACAACTGATGTGGCTGAGATAAAGATGGTAATGTAAAGTTGCAGCCCTTTTATATGGTTTGGATGTGATACTGATGGATCTTAATCAGCTGAGTGTTCAAAGCTTACATCAACAAGCTGACTCTATGGCTCCTAACAGAGCTACGGCGCATGCGTAGTACAAATCTCCCTCGTCGTGGAGCTATCAACGCCACATCTCATCCTGCGACGACCGCCACACGCTTCAGGAGACGTCCCATTTGATATATCTAGCTTAACTTGCAAGAAACTATCGACTCCGCCACATAAATCTCTGTCCTCATCTCACGCTGAGCGGAAGTTTTAGCAGAGAGAGATGGGTCTCATTCTGGGGAAGATCTCGGTGGAGACGCCCAAGTATGAAGTCATCCACGCTTGCCCAGACTATGAGATCAGGAAGTACTCCCCTCGGGTGGTGGCTGAGGTCACCTACGACCCCTCCAAGCTCCGCGGCGACCCTGACGGCGGTTTCATGATCCTTGCCAACTACATCGGCGCCCTCGGCAAGCCGCAGAACGTCCGCCCCGAGAAGATCGCCATGACCGCCCCCGTCATCACCAAAGCCGGCCCCGAGAAGATCGCCATGACCGCGCCCGTCATCACCAACGTCGCCGGCGAGGGCAAGGAAGTGACCATGCAATTCGTGCTGCCGTCCAAGTACTCGCGGGCGGAGGAGGCGCCGGCCCCGGTGGACGAACGGGTCGTGGTGAGGGACGAGGGGGAGGCCAAGTTCGGGGTGGTGAGGTTTAGCGGGTTGACCACCGACCAGGCGGTGGCGGAGAGGGTGGAGCAGCTGAGGCGGTGCCTGGAGCGTGACGGGCACAAGGTGGTGGGGGACTTCCTCCTCGCCAGGTACAACCCGCCCTGGACGCTGCCTTTCCTGCGCACCAACGAAGTCATGCTTCCCATCGAGTAGCAGCAGCAGTAGTGTAGCAGCAGTAGTAGTATGCCGTACATTCGCTGCTTCGTCTCCTATGTATGGTGTGAAATGTCGCAGGGTGCCATATGTAATGCGGTGTGGATGTTCTGTGCCTGCATCTTAATGTCGAGCACTATCGATTACATATAACTTAAGACTCTTCCACGTTTCGTCGAATACCTTATGCGCGCGTCACGAGGAACATAAAAGTTTCTTCTCTTGGTTGGCGAGCCCATAGTTGCTAAGGAAGGTTTGGGCCACTGAGCCCAAGATGGGGACTTACAAAGTCATCAAGTGACTTGCGTTGTTCACGATGGTAAACCTGCTCATGGCATTTGCTCCTCGCTATTTCTTTCCCCCGTCATCTCTCGGTGGACTTCTGAGCCTAAACTGCGGTTAGGCGGTCGGTAATCCTGCTATTGTTTCTGTTACTCGAAGAAGAGGGTGGAAATGGAAGCCCCAGCCATGGAGGCCGAACCCGAGACTGCGTTTCCTCCTCCTCGCCATACGACCTCGTCTCCTCCTTCCCCCGTCGCCGTCGTCGACGGGTCGGCGGGAGGATCGGAACCCGCGGCAGCGGGGGATGGGAGCAGCGTCGACGTGGCGGTGCTCGATGGGCCCGCTAGTTGTGGCGGAGACGGTGCGGTGGCGGCCATGGAGGACCGGGTGAAAGGCCCATGGTCGCCCGAGGAGGACGTGATGCTGAGCCGGCTGGTGGACAAGTTCGGGGCGAGGAATTGGAGCCTGATCGCGCGCGGGGTCCCCGGGCGCTCCGGGAAGTCGTGCCGTCTCCGATGGTGTAACCAACTGGATCCTTACGTCAAGCGCCGCCCCTTCACTGGTACTTAGCCCCCCCCCTTTTGTCTTCTTCTTTGGGTCTGTGATTTCTAGGTTTTGTTTGAGACGTTGGCGTAGAAATCTATCTAATAGGGTTTTGGTGATCAGCCCCAAATTGCCATTGTGAGTTTGAAATCCACAGACATGCGCAAATAATCTTGAATTTATCTTTGGAGACCCGAGAACATGTTCCTTTACCTGAAGTTATGTTCGGATGCCTATGATAAAGACCTCCTTGAGCTGCAAAATGTTCTGTGAGCATACCCATCATTGAACATGGGATGGTGGTAGAATTAGTGGAAGGACACATGCTTGGATCTCCCTGGATATTGGCATTTATGATCTTTCTGCAAATGATATACAACAATAGGTGTGGAGTAATGATTCTTACATTACTAGTCTCCATAGCAGTTAATCTAATAGTGTATATTGGACAATGAGATTCATGTCAGGACACCGGTTTTTCTGTTGTCTTCTGCAAGATTTGAGTTCTGATTTTTACTGCATGAAAAGTTGCATAGCAGAATAAAATGCTTTATATTTTCTCGTATCAATGTCTAGCATTCTAGGATAAAATTTTACGGCACGCTGTTTCAGAAATAAAATAATTGGGCTAACGTAGTTTAGCTAAGATGTTGTTCGGTAGATAAGATGGGTTATCTGGTTAAGGAAACTAACAAGAGAAAACAGGAAGAAAGAATGAAGGATAGTTACTGGTAAGAAGAGGAGAAGTGAGAAGGTAGACACCGATGGGCTAGTTTAATCCAACAACTCTTTATGATTTGTCTTAGAGATGCGCCAACCTTAAGGGTAGTCTGTTCTCTTTAGGTAAAGCTTTTGTTGCATATGATGGCAAGGTGGCTATCTTGATGGCTTGGACAGATAAGCATATAACACGATGAAAAGCGAGCTTAGTGGCTTGTAATTCTAGTGATAGTCTTTCCTAAAGTCTATTGCAATATAATGGCCTGTCTGGTTGTGGTTTGGGGAAATGGTGATCATTTAAGGTGTAATTTCTTCATAATAGTGACATAACCTAGTTCTCTTTTCTCCGGTGGCAGAATCTAGAAATAGCTAGTTTGACTTCTACCGTTTAATATTCCTTTGTGTCTTCATATAGCACTTTTTTGAGAGTCTCTGTCATCAAATAGAAATGTGGTAAATTATCAGAATGCAATACATTTTCTACTTTTTTATGATTTACCTTGTGATTGGAGGCAGTGATGGGGTCCATGTGGCACCTGCTATGATGGGGTAAGAAAAGTTTTTTTTTTTAATGTAGTAGACTGAAGGATCAGACCTGTTATTTTGTGTGATTAATCTTATATGGTTCATTGCCAAAAAGTTTAAATGCTTACAATTCTTTCTGTGTCTGCTAAACCATGTTTGAGGGTTTGGTTTAACTGAGATAAGATCATCAATAAAAAAATGATGCAAGTTTGACTTCCTAAACTGGATAGAAACTTGATCTCATAACATCCTTTATGTATATTGGATGCAATAGTAAATGGTAGATATCATGTTGAATCATGTGCATCTTACAAAAGAAAGTGATGCTTTATGCTGTTTTTTTGTTTTTTGTTTTTTGCTACTTGTCTTTTTAGTTGTAAGATTGTGAACAAGTTTGACCATGTTTAATGTAGAGGAAGAGGACCGCATCATTACTTCTGCTCATGCAATCCATGGTAACAAGTGGGCATCAATTGCGAGGCTTTTACAAGGGAGAACAGACAATGCAATAAAGAACCATTGGAATTCCACATTGAGGCGTACATGTATTGAAGCTAAACAGTACAAAACGATATCATGTGATTCTTCAGGAGATGCTGCTGGTATTGAGAGAGCCAAAGGTTCTTCAGATGAATCTCTGTCTTTTAGTAATGTCAATTCCTTTAAATCCATGGAAGTAAAAGATCCTAGTTTGAGGGAAAATGCTTCAGAGAATTCTGGAGAGGTTGTCGTCATTAGAGATGAACCCCTCGTACCTGAGTCGAGAAACCCACCTAACCTCTTCCGACCAGTTGCTAAAGGGAGTGCTTTCAGCCCATATAATAGTACACCTCGTCGGTTGAGTGGTCCTGAAGCATCAGGACGAGGTCTACTGGGTGGCCCACTTTATGAAGCCTTCAAACCTGGTGGTGGCATCTGTAAATTTCTTAACAATGTTTCCTGTGAACCTCAGGTTCCGCAACGATGTGGGCACAGATGCTGTATCATTCAAGATGGGAGCCATTCTTCTAGCTCTTCGTTAGGTCCAGAGTTTATTGAGTTTGTTGAGCCTCCACCCATTCCAAGTCATGAGTTGGCCTCTGTAGGGTCTGAAATTGGCAGCATTGCTTGGCTTAAAAGTGGCTTGAACAGTAGTTGCACCAGCATATATGCTACTCCACCTGGACAGGTAGATTCATGTGGAGTACATATCTAATGCGACAGGAAAAATCCCCATGGTCATCGCTGCACCCAAAGGCATTGTAAGCGAGTCAACGAGCATGATGAAGTGGCAGTTAGTATGGGAATGAAGGGATATTAGTCTGACCAGAAGTTTGCTTGGAACTGTCATAAGCATCCGTTCTTGATCATGAGAACAGTGTCTCATCAATCATTGTGGCATTACATTCCAGTTTTGGATAGCCACCTGATGATGGTGCTGATGTAGATCAGATCAGATAGGTCCAGAAATTGTTATGACTCTGTCTGGTGAGCACTTGAATATTCCTCTAGTGAATCAGAATGCTTCAGTTTTCATACACCTCTCCTTTATTGGTGTGCTAGACTTGTCAGTTTCTTTGTTGTAATTTGCAAAAATAGGAGGGCGTTGGTCCTGCATCAGCCTGTATAGCAGGTATTATGCCTTCCTTATCTAGTAAACCCAGAAAACATGATTCATTAAAGGCCGCTTGAATGGGTAGTCTGTGTCTCTTTGCATCAGTGCCATTATGAAACAATGTAGAACGAGTTTGATTCTTTTTCCTACATTTTGGATACTCCTGTCTGGCCTAGATTAATTACATTGGGTGGTAAGTTTCACTTCTCTTTTTGATATTAGTTTGCTGCACCTGACATTTCTCTTTGTTTGTGTGGCCCATGTGTGTATCTTGGGTTATAGGAAGTAGTACGGTATCATAATCGATGTTCGTCAGGACTTTTTGACGGCCGATGGTAAGCAATTAGTTATGCCTCCTGAAACTTGTAGCTGTCTCAATGGAGATGATACGAAACTACTCGTCAATACTTTATTCTTGTTTAATCACTTCAGTTTGTAAGTAAACCTGTTTCATACCGAAATTTATAATACATATATATATATCCTTCCAAATATATAGAAATCTATAAATTTCTTAAAGATGTTAATATTACTTAAATATCTTCAGTCAATTTAACCAGAATAATATGTTTTCACCTCACGGCAGCGATGCTGGGTAGAATAATAATGAGCAATTATCCGCAATATTTGAGAAGCCTGAATCAAACATGCCCCACATTAGGCAACATGTCCAGGGAAAAAGGATTAACAGAACACGGATACAAGATAATGTCCATATGCATTAAGATGTACACCTAAATGTACCAACTCTCCCCGCCAGAGGAGAATGGTATACAAGCATTTGCTATGATAAACAAAAGGATTAAACATCCACTGCAACAGAAAAAGCCATGCATCAAACTATATATAACGCCACTTAAAACAGAGACAAGAAAAATAATCAGTATTATATGTGACATAACACTCTCAAACGCAGACATGGTTGCTAGGATATGTAAAAAAGAAAGAATGTTAAAGCAAAATAAAGAAATTTCTCCATCCGTTGTGTTACCGAGAGAGAATATTATCATGCCTAAGCAAGTCAGAATAATTGAAATACATTGAACATGAAAGGTAAGTGAACAAGCAGTGGTTGATAAAAACATAAATCAACTGAAAATGTTGCAGTTTAGTTATTTCTAAAACATGTACCATTTAAATTTGTACCACTTCAAATTTGAAGTTTAGTTATTACTAGTTTTAAGAATTCACGATGATTCCATATGCGCATTTACAATAGATCATGCAAGCTATCAGCGACTTAACAAAGAAATTAAGATTAACAAACCACTATGCAAGAGCAAAAGGATGAAGGTACGACCTCTTTCTTTCCCAGGTTCCTGTGAAAACCATTAACAATCATAAGATGATTCTTACAATTTGGTCAAATTTTGTTAGCCCAAATATTTGATGTTATTAAAGCCTGGACAGGAGAATACAACATAGTATACACACCGAAAGTATCATAAATCCAAGATCCAGTAAGGCCGGTCCACCCCACGCGCTGCCAAACCATGTACACACTGAGGAAAAATAATGGCATAAGTCTTTAATTCATTTAATGATTCAGACAACAGAAACATTTTACAAAGTAGTATTGCATCCCATACATCTGAGCTACTCATTAAGCGGTTCCAGAAAATTCCCCATGTTATATTATACCCCAATAACCATCACATGAGATAGGTAAGGCTACTCAAAAAGTATCTTTTTCTGATAACTAAAAGATAGCCAAACCTTCAGAAAATGACATTTAGATAAAACCTGAAGAAAACAAAATATAACCACATGCATGATCATAAATATAACTTGATCATTGGGAATAAGTATGATAGGTGACCATCAGACTTTTCAATAATTGGCAATTTTGAAGATTGATTTCATCCAATTTAGAAGATTGTTGAAGAGCTAAAATGTCTCTGATGTATAAATCAAATGGCAGAGAAGAGGCGAGATGGTGAGAACACAATGAAGATGTAAATGCTACAGACATGCATGAAATGCTACATGTTTGATCATAGGATACCCCTTTCCATCAAAACAAAAAAATGTAGGATATTCCTAACATAATTTGTCCTTTCATGCACTATATCAGCACTATTCATCTCAGAGGTGGAAATTCAAACATATTTGAATTAATTATAATAAAATATCAGCACTATTTGGAAATTCAAACATATTTGAATTAATTATAATAAAATTCATCTCAAATGTAGGATATTCCTAACATAATTTGTCCATTCATGCACTATATCAGCACTATTCATCTCAGAGCTGGAAATTCAAACATATTTGAATTAATTATAATAAAATATCAGTTTACTTCCATCTTCTATATAGCACCATGACATCAAAGGCAACACAAACATGTGGCATGTTTTGGCAAAAAGAAAAAAAAAAAACATAACACCTTGATGAAGCCTCATACTGCACATCTTTTGTTCCTATTCCTCTAAACTGTAGATTCTAGAAGAAAAAATAAACTACTAAAAGAAATTCCAGTCTTAACTTCAAAACATCCATTCAGCCTAGTGCACAACAAGCTTAAGATTCTTCTGTAGTCATCAATAAATTGCAGTCCAACAAGAATCTATTCTTGTAAGCATCATGGGGTTGCTTGTTTATTCCTTCTGATCAGAGAAAAGATAGAACATGACAAACAACCTTAGATGATTAATAGCATCATGCACCATCCATAAATACTATTGAACTAATGACTCGAAGCAAAAAGATGGCACACACTATAAGGTCATTTCGGCATCTTCCTGTGCCTTAATGTCCAGAATGAATCTACAACAACAAAAACTAAATGCTATAGGTTTAGCTATGTGCCAGGCTCACCAAGGGGGGACTAAACCACTCTACTGAACGTGAAGCTTAAATGATTAGCAATTGCAAGTTATTTCAAGTTGCCTTAATTTGATCATCATCCATTCAAATCCAAAACCAGATTACTCTGTAGGCATGCCGGCCATTCCAAGTAGTTAGACCTTATGACTCTGAGATTTGAGCCTATGACCACGTTCAACCCTCAATCTTTAATGCTACATACCCAAGAAATCATTTGGCCCTAAGAAAGTCCGCTCTTTCTTCAAGGCGATTAAAGAGTGCCTGCTATTTTATTAGTCGGTTCTTTCCTCGAGGCGATTAAAGAATACATGAAAAGAAATGACACCTGAAACAGAGAGTCAAGCGAGCAGAAGCTTCCACTTCTCCGCAAGAAGTTGAACCTCCATAGACGTCTCCATGGCACCTTCCCCCATAGCAGCAAACAGAATCGCAATCAACCCAGAAAGGCATGCCTCGAACAGCCAAGAAGTAGAAAAAACAGCGGGGGCGCGAACAAACCTTGAAAGCCTCGCTAGCAACATAGATTGTCATGGCTACCGAGCACAAGCGAGATCGCACCACCCATCCGCTCCGCAGAAGCACGTCATCTTCATGCCGGATCGATCCAGAACTCTGTTCTTTACAAGAAGGAAACAGATCCAGAATCGGTGTGCGGTCGGCTCGTCGATCGATTAACAGACACAACAAAACCCCTTGAATCTTGATCGACACAGAGGGTTTCGTCGTTGGTTCCCGTTCGTTATATTCAAGAACATGTCAGGAGAAAGACAGGATTCAACCTTGAGAAGAAGGCCAAGCTGACGAACGAACGAACGAGGGATCAAAGGGCCGCTCTCCCTTAATCGCCGCGCCATCAGCTCCGCCGACGACGAAGCAAGAAGACGAGGCAGAGGTCGAAGTAACCGCCTCCTCTGTGTGTGTGTGTGTGTGTGTGCGCGCGCGCATATATATATATATATATATATATAATTCTTGATGTAATTTTTATTTAAAAAATAAATAAATAATTTAACAGTTTGAGTAACCGTAGAAAAGGCGTCCAAATACTAATATAAACGTATTGAAATATATAGGGAGAATAAATGTTCGTTTTATTATATATGGAGAGAGGTGGTGAGGGGTGGTTGGGTGGATGGCGAGAGAGATGGGGGACGAATACGCCGCCCAACTCGGCGGATTCAGTTGCAATGTATCCATCGGCGGCCACGCGACCTTCTCTCCTTGACGGTTTCCTCGGGGTTCCTACTCTTACCCCATCTTACACGGGCCCGTCATGTGATTGGAGAACAGCTGCGGGGCCCAGAGGATTCACACAGTGGGCGGGCATGTGCGAAGGGTTCGCAACCGAAACGGAAAAGGAAATTACTCGATGCCCGTCTCGATATGTATAGATGTTCGAGTATAGAAAACAGCAAAAAAGTATTTCTCGATGTTTTCTTGTTTTTAGTTCCCATGTCAGCCTAAAATGCTGCAATTTCTCTGTTTAATGCAGAAAACATTTCGGATATCAGGTACAGTGTTTTTGGCAACACAAACAAAACCAGGTCAGCTTGATGTGCGGCACGGCATGTTTCAGCCGGCGGGGTCAAAGAAACAACGCGAGCACTTCGGGCCGATGGGAAAGCCACGAGCAAGAGGAGACCCAAGAGGCGAAGCGAGCCCCCGCTTTCCTTTCTCCGCTGAGAGCAGGAAGAGAGAATGGCGGGCGACCGGAAGATCGGGGTGGCGCTGGACTTCTCCAGCAGCAGCAAGCGGGCGCTCCAGTGGGCCATCGACAACCTCCTCGACCCGGGCGAGACCCTCATCGTCCTCCACGTCGTGCGCCCTAAGTCGTTCTTCCATGGCGCCGGCTCCAAGCACTCCTCCGATGCTCGTCGTACGTACCATGCCCCCTTAATTCTCGTTTCAATCTGCACCGTCCTCTGAGAAATAGAATCGCTCCCGCTTACCATGTATCTGTGTGCGCATGCTCTGCAAATTGTTAGCTTTGATTCCTCTGACGGAGCGCCGGGAGCTGGATTTGTTGAAGAGCTACGATCTGGATGTCGATACGGACGTCCATGACATGCTCGAAGCCGCTTCCAAACAAAAGGAGGTCCCTCCTCTGATTTCTCATAAAAAAGACTGTTTCTTGTAGACATATGTTTCGATTTATATCTCGTCCCGGTGAAATTAATGGATCAGGCGAAGATCGTGATGAAGTTATACATGGGGGACGCTAGGGAGAAGCTGTGCGAAGCGGCGCAAGAGCTGAAGCTGGACTCGCTGGTCATGGGTTGCAGAGGTCTTACCCAGATTCAGAGGTAACATGATACATATAGAAGCGTCGGGTTTTCCCGTGCAGTGCATCATACTCTTACTCCATATATTTGTTCGAATTTTGATAGCGTTTGGTTCACCATTTGTTGATTGCATCAGTTTTTGACCCCCCATAAACTGCAAAATTTGAGACGTAATAAATTGGTAAAAGCAATTCCCTATGCCAGACGGATTTTCAATGAGCAAACAACGTTAAAGATAAAAAAGGATATTGATATATTGCAGCTGAAACCTGCTCGGAGCAGTTTTCAGTTGGAGTTTCACTATGTGTATAGCTTTCAGACCTCTTCTGTTCCGTTTCTAAATGGTACCTGACTTTGATCTTAAATGCAAGGTAGAATGATAGACTTGTTCTGGCTAATTCTGGTGTTCATGGTAGCTCTCAGCCAACAACATGAGAGCCATGCCAACTAAATGCTTTTGAGTCACTAACTTATGCACCCTCTCCGATTTAGCCCATACTGATCCTATCATGATATAAACGATAGCTGCAATCTAGAGATATTATGTAACAAGGATATGCCCTTACTCAAGAAGAGCAGCCATTGATTGTCAGGTTCCTCCTGAACTCTTTGGCAAAGAAAGCATTGTCAGATGTTGAGGTCTGCTTGGATTGATTACCCATCCGCAATGCTGGCAAATCGGCAACTTGCTTGGTCTCTTCTTGTTTTGCTTTTTAACTTTAGGTACAAAAGATGTTAGAATTGAATTCTTTGGGTCTTCTTATTGAATCTGTGCTTCAGTAAATGGTAAATGAACTTTAACCTTGTGAGCAGTTGTCAATGAAAACTTAATGGTTCCATATCGACTCATGTTAAAATGATCAAAGGGCAGTTGTTTTCCTTTTTGTCAACTTTTTGCCTGTCTAAGAATGCTGCAATATTAATAATCTTCTAGATGTTTCCATATGATGTGAGATTTTAGGCTGCTATAAAAGTTTCCTGTTGGAAATTTATCTTTGAATATAAAAGTTTGAATTCAGATAATTCAAATGTAAGGTGTTTACTGAGACTTTTTGGTCAACAGTTACATTTTTCTTTTTAATTTCAATGATGTAGTTTTGAGAGAGCACTTCCCTGGAAATTTTTGGAGGCCGACCATTAGGCAAATTCCAATGTGTTCTCATAATTAATAGACAGACCTGAACGTATCTATAATTTGCAAACCAATGATTGCTGTGTGCAGTTTGTTAGACTCATGAATGCCCATGTTAGCATCTATTTCTCCTTTGCTCTTAACGGTGATGGTCGAGATTAGACAAATATGTATCTGGTTCAGACCACCTAATCTGAGACACATTTCTCTGAATATACAAATTTAGATGATCCATTGGACCAGTTATAAATGTCTCAAAACCGAGCAGGATAGCTTCACCTACATGCTGTATGCCACAAAAATCATATTTACCTCATGTTGGGTGTTTCCTCTGAAACCATTTCTGATGTTTTTCTCTCATTTCTCCTGTGGTCATTTGATGTTAAATGCTGTGCGGTTACTTTGTTAGATTTGCAAACTAGTGAAGGAAATTTTGGAATGAACATTTTGATTGATCCAAAAAGAACAATAAGCTATCGATGCCTCTTAGCCGAGTTGAATGTATGGACATCTGGTAGTCTTGGCTCATCAAGGTCAGATTTGGTTAGTAGTGTTAGCCATCAATATATTTTACGGACTTGGGAATTATCTATCTCAGCTGTGTGGCACAAACATTATCTATGTTTCTGCTGGAAGTTGCAGTTCGATGACAACAATATGGTAATTCCACTAGCACTTACTTTCTTCTCAAATTTTCTTATTTATTCTAGTGTTTCTGCAGGATATTTCTGGGCAGTGTATCGAACTATGTACTGTCAAATGTATCGTGCCCTGTCACTGTCATCAAAGATACAAACTTCAAGCGCAGATAGATCTGCTGTCCTAATGATTCATACAGAGGCATTAGGATTCAAGAGAATACAGACTTCGTGATGAGACAACGGATCAGGTTATGTAAAATTCAAGCATGAGCTTGGACATGTTTTTACTTTTAATAACACTTGTAAGCAAGTGCCACTTTTGGAGATCGAAAATGGTTGAGAATAAATTTAAAACAGTGTGAGTTGGATTGGATCTCTTTATTCTTTGTATCTTTTGAAACTTTACATGGGAGAAACGAATTGCTATCGGATGGAAACATATAAATCATGAGTGATTTCTAGGAAAATAAACTTTTTTTTTTTTTGGACTTTTCTCATGAGGTGTCTTATTTTCAAATTTTTCAAGGGGCATTTCCACCTTTTTCATAATCCCTTTTACTTTTCTCTTCCACATATTTTATTTAAAAATATTGTCAATTGGTGTGTTTTTCTCTTCCATCAAAAACAATCTATTCAAATTTCTTTTTTGATTTAGAAACAAGAATAAATAATTAAAGAAATTTCTATTTTAATACAGTGGTTTTGAATAAGCTTATAGTGTTTTATGATAATTTCATCAAGACATTATGAGTTTGTTCAAAAACATTGTATCCAAATAAAATGAAGTCAAAACCCAGAAATCAATTCATACAAAAAATTTTCAAATAAGCATCATTATTAATTTAAAAATAAAAAATAAATAGTGGGATCTCTATGTAATGTTTTTTAATAGGTTTATTTGTGTTTTAAAACACTCTAAATTTACTCAAAAATACTGTAATGAAAAAGATTGAATGGAGCTATTGATGCATTTTAAAAATTATAAAAAAAATAAAGATTTCCCCTCGAGAAATATGAAAAAAGATAACCTAAAAAATATACTCTTTCATTCATTCATCATTGCATAGGTTTAAATCATTTTTTAATCTATTTAATTATTTTTATATCTCATAACCACAGAAATATTTTTGTTGTATTTTTCACTCTCTCTTAATCTGTGACCGGTATTTGTGTAAACACATGCGATAAAACTTTCCTTTTTTCATCGGGCCCACCAGACCGACCAGCCACAGCGCGACACGTATCTACAACACAATGTCACCGCCCGGTGTCTCGTGGTACAATGAACGCGAGCACACCACTCGAAGTCGCCTCCAACGGATAAAAGACACGCATGTGAAGGGATCTCCACGGCTCAATACGACGCGCGTACTGAGTTGGGCCGTTCCCGAGATTTGCTCGTCTTTGACTTTGTCTGGGACCCTCTTCGTCGGTTTCCAAAACCAGGAGACGTCTACGCCTGCTTTGTCGTCGTCTCCGCCCTCACTACCGCGATCCCCCCCACAGTTCAAATCTCATGCCAAAACCAGTCTTCTCCGCATCTGACTTCTCCCGACGCCACCAAAAGCAATCTTTTTCTTTTCGGTCCAACTATTTTATTTCAATTTTGAAATCTGCGTCCACAGTCGATGAACGCACTCTCTCTCCTCTCGCCTCTCTTTTCTGTCTGTAACGTTCCGACGGATCAAAAGGAGTGCGCACGCACATAAAGAAATGGAAAGAGGAGACGTGGTGCAACGGGCGAGAGAGCGTGTCTGAGATCGAGCGAGGGAGGAAAGCGGGCAGCCGCCGTGTGCATGCGGAGACCGTTGCTGCCTTCAATTACAATTACGGTGGCTGCCTCCTCCGCCGTGGGGCAAATTAAATGGCGAAGGCGCTCGTCCTCCCCGTCTCCGTGAAGCGAGGGTCGTGTGAGTGTGCTCATGTGCAAGGTCCAGCGCTCGTAATCATCTCCTTCACCAACTTCTCCTATATTAAATGGATGTGCTGTTGCTGAATGCTTGCTGGTTAGAGAAGCCCACACAAGGCCTCTTCTCCTTTACCGGATGATGGCTTTCTTCTGCACACTCCATTACCACCACCAGACGGCCCCAACCAGCAACCATTACCTTTTCTGCCCCTTTTCCTCCCCATTCTGAGTTTGTTGGCTCCCTCAAAATCTTGTCTTCCGGTCTTGCCGTGGACAAGCCCTTTTTCTGTGGGAGCACGGGGAGGCGCCTGGAGCTGCTCAGAATGGATGATGCGGCGGAAAAGGGTGAGAATGGGGAACGCAAGCACGGAGAGGCGGCACTGGGAGGCGACCTGTTCAGTGACTCCGCAGAGGATGAGTGCAGCGGCAGCAGTTCGAGCCTCGAGACCTCGTCCAGCGAGGAGCCACACGACCCTTGTGGTGGAGCCCATCAGGGACCGTCGTCGGAGCAGTCGGCGGTGGCGCCGGGTTGGCCTCTGCGGAAAAGCTCCGTCTCTGACTTGGAATTGGATGATGATGACGATGATGGCAAAGCCCATGAGCACCACCACCATGGAACAGAACATCTGATGAAGCCCAAATACTCAGGTAACCCAGTCTTGATCTTGGATCAGTTGGATCACGACCAGATTGTTCTGCAACCACATTTTGGGTTCTCGCTTGTGTCGATTTGTATCTGTACGAAGCTACATTTGCTTCTAGATGAAGCACACGGTAACAGCGTGCAAATACATGTTGTTGTTCTACCAGAAATCGAGATGATGAAGGAGAGGTTCTCAAAACTGCTACTTGGAGAAGATATGTCTGGCTGCGGCAAAGGAGCGTGCACTGCACTGGCAATTTCAAATGCTATCACTAATCTCTGCGGTAAGCACTTCATTGCTTCCCATTTCTATCTGTGCATTGCGTTTGATTCCAAAATAACTGTCTTTTTCCTCAGCCACAATTTTCGGGCAGCTATGGAGGCTGGAGCCTCTTTCTTCTGAGAAGAAGACCATGTGGCGAAGGGAGATGGAGTGGCTTCTGTGTGTCAGTGATCACATCGTCGAAATGATACCCTCATGGCAAACATTTCCTGACGGGAGCAAGTTCGAGGTACTTCCTCTTGTCTTCTTCTTCTTCTTCTTCTCGATGATGATGATGATGATGATGATGATGATGACGACATCATCCTTTGGAATTCAGGTCATGACCTGCAGACCAAGATCGGATCTATGTATCAATCTTCCGGCGCTGAGGAAGTTGGACAACATGCTCCTTGTAAGATTTGATGCAAACTCCAGCTTTTTGCTCTCAGCCTCTTCACTGTTCTTCATCAGGAGTTGCTCTCTGCAGGAGATACTGGACAGTTTCAGTGATCCGGAGTTTTGGTACGTCGATCAAGGGATACTGGCGCCGGATTCCGATGGCTCGGCCTCCTTCCGACGAACCCTTCACCGGCAAGAAGAGAAGTGGTGGCTTCCCGTTCCTCGTTTCCCCCCCGGCGGCCTCCATGAGAAGACGAGGAAGGAGTTGCAGCACAAAAGAGAATGCACGAGTCAGATCCTGAAGGCTGCGATGGCAATCAACAGCAACAGTTTGGCGGAAATGGAAGTACCCGAGTCTTACCTCAGTTCACTACCAAAGGTGTGTTCTCCAGCAGAGTGATCTCCATGGGTTCTCCTCCTCGTCCACTGACTCGATTCTGGATCGCAGAATGGAAGAGCAAGTCTGGGTGATGTGATCCATCGTTATGTTTCATCTGATCAGTTCTCCCCCGAATGCCTTCTCGACTGCCTCGATTTATCGTCCGAACACCGAGTCTTGGAAGTCGCCAACAGAGTGGAGGCATCCATCTACATCTGGCGCCGGCGAGCGGCCATGAAACCAGCAAGCAGCAGCACCGCTAAATCGTCCTGGGAAATCGTCAAGGACATGATCGTAGACGCAGACAAAAGGGAGCTGCTTGCTGAGAGGGCCGAGACCCTCTTGCTGTGCTTGAAGCAGAGGTTCCCCAGCCTCACCCAGACATCGTTGGACACCAGCAAAATCCAATTCAACAAGGTCGGTGCTTCCTGCAACTCTCGGTCTCGCTTTGGTGGAAGCGTTGTGTCAGCCTTTCTCATGCTAAGCGTTGCAGGACATCGGCAAATCCATTCTGGAAAGCTACTCCAGAGTTCTGGAGAGCCTCGCGTTCAACATCGTGGCCCGCATCGATGATTTGCTCCATGTGGACGACTTCTGCAAGCACTCGGATCCGCTGTTGGCGGTTCCAGCGGTCAGCATCATCGCGCAGAAGAAGGTGACGGTGCCTGCCTCCGGCACTCCATGCATGACGGCTTATGCGACGCCATGCTTCTCGCCGGCGCCGCTAATTAGCCCAGCAGGGCGAGAGAGGTCGCCATTGATCAACAAGAAGCCCAGCAGTCGGGGATTCGGTGTGAAGAAAGTGCTGACCAGTTATCTCAACGTCGAGCTGAGGACCAAAAGCCCCATCGATGCGACTGAGCCATCGGAGGTGGTCTCAAACAGATACTCTGAGATCTCCTCATCAGCCTCTTGAGCGAGTTCACGAGGAAGGAGGTGAAGAAACAGCTGACGTGTTATACTTTTGTGTGAGATGTATATTAAACCTGTAATCCTCCTCGGTTTATGCTTCTCAGTAGTGTTGCATCTGTGGGTGGAAATGCTCTCTTGAATGGAATATATGTAGGAATAGTGTGTTTTGTGCCTTTTTTATTTTTCTCATCAGAATAATTAGCATTAGTAGAAAGGGTTACATCTACAACTATTATCATCCGATTTGATGGGTTAATTTGTTGGAGTGGCTTTTTGATGTTAATATTTGCCGCTATATATAATCCTATTTTAATTTTTTTTAATATTTCTAAAGTATTTCTTTCGATAATAAATATTATTAAAAGATAAAATTAATAATATTTGGATTATAAATAATAAAATTATATAGATTAAATATATTACTAATGATAATGAGATTATTAATAGAAAAAAAAAGGGGCTACGAATAGTAAATCAGGCGTGTGGACGGTTGAGATGTGGGAATTGGAGCAATCTATTTAAAATCGTTTCTGGAGAGGATCCACGCCTGGTGGATTTCGAACAAGTCCTTTTCATGTTGACCGGAGCAAGGCACTGCGTCATCTTCAGAGACGAGCGTTGGAAGTCCTTCAAAGCCCTTGTCTCTGTTGGTCGCCATGGACGATGAAGACATCCGCCAGCACGCTGATAAGAGGCCGCCGAGCACCATACTCGACTCAGGCGGAGGCGGCAGCCGCGGAGGAGGAAGAGGAGGAGAGATTGTCGACGTGAGTACTCCCTCTTCACCCTCGCCTGGCCTGACAGTACCCTTCCTCCTCCTCCAGTGCCGGCTGCGGCCGAACCCCTCCTTCAATCCGCCGCCGGACATGTATGTGGAGAAGAACCTCGTCTTCTCCACCCACGACTCGTCCCTCATGGATTTAGCTTTTCAGTGGATCATATAATCTGTTCAATGCTCAGCAAGAAACCGGGTTGAAGGATTAGAGATAGAGAGATATAGACCTGAGCAAGTCATTCTCATGGAGTTCGTATAGGTGTACGAATGCCATCCACTAATGGTTGCAACAGTCGTTCCATTTGGCATCAAAGATCTCCATGAGAGGGAAGCCATTCCACAGATCTAGTAATCCACGTTGAGGTGAAAGCTTTCCGGCTAATCTTCTGCACATCTCAGGTTGAGGTTTTCTACTGTGTTGAAGAACACCATCCATGTCAACCAAGTGGCTCATCTTTCACATGAAAACTACATCAAGCCATTTAAGCTGTTCCTACTTGCCATCAATACAATGTTGATGATGATGCCTCAACTGTGGGTGGACTTCAGTAAACGTTCTTCCAAATGCTATCAAGTATCCTTGAGTTAATCCTAATTCGATCACAAATCTTATATTATACTCTCTCACGGTACACTCATCAGTCATGACTCATGGATAGAGATGGGAAGAGAGAATAGGCAACAGCATGAGACACACGCACCACTTACAGGCAGTGGAGTTAGGAGATCTTCCACTCCCACAAGGAAAAAAGAAGATAAGGAAGATGCATGAACCGTGAGTCTCATGGTTTCCTACATCGATAGCTTGGTCATTCTGATGTCAACCAGACAAAGTCAACATAAACAAGTAATCTTGTGCTATCATCCAACAAGAACTTGCACCAATGTGACCACACATGGTGGAAGCTTTTTGAATCTTGAGCGTGACACGTTGTAGACTTGGGATGCAGCCCATGAGGCATGAATTTGGCCTGCACTAAAGATCTTCCTCTCTAATAATCATACCATCAGATGATGTGGATTACAATCAGAGGTTACACCTTTCCACCAAACAAGCATTTAACACAACAAACTAAAAGTATACTTTACAACCAAGGTTGATCATTCTATAAAGTCATCACCTAATAATGAGATTAGAAAGGGAGTATCAAAGAAGCTAGATATAAATAATGCTGACAAGTTGCATGTACCTTGGAAGAAGAAGAAGATACAAGATGGGTCTGCAAAGGTTTCACTGCATGGTTCTGCTGCTCTTGGTCTCCACCTTCCAGGTTCACATCTCTTTGAGTACTGCAGAGGCAGGGCCACTTCCCTTCACCAAGCAAGAGAGTAAGAGCACCAAAGAACCCATCCCTAACCCTTAATCTAACTACTGAAACTTCTTGCAAGATTTCCATAGATACTGACTGCTTGAGATGTTACTCTTGACTGATTTGGTTTTGTTGATGGCTTGGGGCTAAGGATATGTCGCGGTGCTGGAGTCACTGGGAATCAAGTGCCAGTGCTGTGATGGGGCTGGAGGTGAATGCAGGAGCAGCTGGGACTCCAACTGCAGCAAGCTGGACTGCCATAACCTCAAGTTCTTATGATTTTGGTCTGAAACTTTCTTTCATGTTGTCTTGTTCGATCTTTCTTGTATTTTCTACCGTTCCATAAAACATGGCAGATCAGTTTGAGGCTGCAAGAAGAAAGCTTGATGGAAAAGAAAAACCATGGATTAGTTTGTTTGATGGATATCTACTAATATATAAAGAGATCATCTGCAAGTGCAGTCTGAAGTTATCCTACTACTGTCCATTGAACATTTTTCTTGCAAGCACATCTTGATTTCCATCCAAATATTGAAATGAAATTTATAACTTTTAAATATACTCTATGTTTAAGATTATGTCTTGATGTATTGATTTATCGATTTAATAAGTGTTCATGAGCCACCACTGTGTCATTTTTAAAAGGTTTTGAAATGTGGATTATTTTCATGTGGAGTAAGAAAATTTGCAGAACTAAATATGATTTTGTCAACGTCATCTTAAAAAATTTCTACTCCAGCCCTAGCACGCATTCACTTGTGTTAACTCTGGCTACACTTTCGCCTCGTTGATAGTCTTTCTTTGTTTTGTTTATGGGTGTCCTATTCGTCTCCTAGCTTTCATCGTCATTGTTAGCCATAAGGATGAATCGTCTCCCCTCCTTTCTCACATACGACCAATAACAAGGAAGGGGCACGAGGAGACTGCACTAGTAAGAAAGGGGCATGACGAGGCTATGCAGTCTCGTCAAGCCCCCAACCCTTATCATCGTCACTAGGTATGGAGGTACTATATAATACCACATATACTCTTATTCAACGAAGGTCGCACCATTATTAGTTCAATGAGGTGCGACATAGGTCATTGCGCCTTCATCGGTGGGTGGGTATAATAGAGGGGAGCAACCAACGGGACAACAACACGATCAATGGTTGGGCGAAAGGCAATAGAGCAAGATGATTATTTAAAAAAAAAAATTAAAACTTAAAGGTGCTTTTTGAGAAATTCTAAAATTTAGGGACTTTTTCAAAAATTCATCGAACTTTACATACCTATTTTATTTTTTGATTAATTATTTTATTCTTTAATTTTATATTTATATCTAGAAAGATAAGTATACTAATAGGTGTCAGCTAATCATACTAATAGGATAACAGATGTGTCAATTTTATTAAATTTAAATTATTGATAAAAATATTTAAGTTAAAGTTTATAGTAATACACTCTCAGTCTTACATAAATTAATTAAAATATTATAAATTTGAATTATTTTATCACTTTGAATGAAATTGAAATAAGTATGTATTATTTAATTCAATGAACACAAAGATACACGCAAAGTTAGAAGAGATTCGGGGCTTTGTCGGAGCCTGAAAACCCAACAGTCGATCCGAATCCGACTTGATAAGAATCAATCATGCTTGATGCGTGCGTTTTAATTCGGATCCCAATCCTGGGATGGATATCCAAATCCGATAACTAATGGATTTTATTGTTTTCATATATATGTGACGCCGTGAGCCATTGCCGTTCTCTTCGCCGTTGACACTGGTGACGCCTCGTCGCTTCCCCTTCACCGGACCATCCAATCTCAAGCTCTCTCTTCTCTTCCTTCGACCAGATCTCGGAACCAGGTACTGCTCCATCTCCAGATCCGTCCCCCTTCTCCTCCTTGCGTTGTTGTGGCATCGATTTCTGTGATTCTGGTCGGACGGCCCTATGTTCGAATCCATCGTTTGCTGATCTCTGATCTCCTCGTGTTTTCTGTGTTGTTTTGGCGTCGAATTCGATCTCGATTTTGTGGTATCGATGTTGATATTGGTGGTTCTTGTTCTTTTCCGGGTGGATCTGATGCAGATCGGGAGGAGGAGGAGGAGGCGGCGGTGAAGATGGCACACCGAGTGGACCACGAGTACGATTACCTCTTCAAGATCGTCCTCATCGGAGATTCCGGCGTGGGTAAGTCCAACATCCTCTCCAGGTTCACCCGCAACGAGTTCTGCTTGGATTCCAAGTCCACCATCGGCGTCGAATTTGCCACCAAGACCCTTCAGGTGAGCTGCCCCCGATTCCTATTGCTCCTCCTTCTATAGATCCGTGTGTAGTAGATCTTGAGGCCGTGGAAAACTCTGTTGCGATCGCTCCGAGTAGTATCGGGATTTCATATAATGCAAATAAGGCGTTATGCTGCTTGCGGATCATTGGATGTGGCATAACAAGAACCAAAATGACCTAATCTTCTCATCCTTTGAAACTGGAAATCTAAGTCAAAGCAGCCTCAAAAGTATTTGTTCTTTAGCTGATTTATGCTCGAGGCGTTGTATGATATAACATTTTCCCCCTTTAGGATGTGTTACAGATATCCTAATGAATTACTTGACACTCTTCGTAATGCATTTTGAAGCTATGACCACAGTATATGATTGCGCAAATAGGTAGAAAAGTTGCTACCTTGAGATTGGCATAGACATGACTCGATGGTTTTAGCAAACAAAAGATTTCCCGTATCCTTGTGTACCATTCATCAGGTCCTTATGGACTTATTGGATTATTTCAAACAAATGAGCTAGACTTGTTCATTTTGATTTTATCTCACTGGACTAGGCTTGACACCGCAACTACCGGTCACAAATTGACTCTAAGCTTTATCAGAAATGTCAATATTAGCTCTAAACTTCGGTTTTTATTTTAGTTGGTCCCTGAACATTATTTCATCAGGTATCGTTCATCCTTGGCTTGGCTGAGCCACCTAGTTGGCAAAATATAGCCATTTACGGACATTACTTTGTTTTCATTCCTTATTCAATCACACGGCTCTGTTGCGATGGCTTGTACTTAAATGTGCATAGAGTTGGTTGCTGACATGGTGGCATTTTCCACTTCATCCGGAATTAGTTCTTGGAGTGGACGATGAAGAGGAAGAGAAAGATGATGATGATGTGTCCCAAATCCCATCTTCACCACTTGGGTACGAGTCAGTATATGCCAAACAGTGAAAGAAATAACATACTGAGCAGGAAAACTGTCGTCTGTGATAGCGAGATAGACCTAACTTGCTGGGGGCATATGGGGCTTAACACAATAATTTTCAGGGACTAACTTGAACAAAAACTAAGTTTAGGGCTTAAGTTCTCATTTGTGTCGATCCTTGTTTACAAGAATCGAAGCAATTAATATCAAAAGTGGATGTTTCTTTATTTAATGCAGCCACCACAGTGACAATCTGGGTTGTCGTGTAGTTATTTAGCAGCTGCTGAGTTGCCGATCATGTAGGTTCAAGTTGATATGATCCACACAACTCTTAAGCTTTATGATGGATATAGTACAAACGGATGGAGTTTGTGGTGTGCATAAATTTCAATTGCTAGTTAACAAGTAATGACTCCTGTAGATTGACCTACTTATTCATTTGCGTTACTTCTGTAGTCGATGTGTCACGTCAAACTTCCTCCCTGATTAGCTTAAATAGATGCTCGATTGTTTCGGAACCTCATTACATGCAATGCATGTTTCCCTTAAATGGTGTCAAGATTTTTTGTATATGTCATGATGTTCGGTGTCTGTGAAAGTTTAACATGATGGAATGAACAGATAGAAGGGAAGACAATCAAGGCACAGATCTGGGACACTGCTGGTCAAGAGAGATACCGCGCCATAACCAGCGCGTATTACAGGGGTGCAGTGGGAGCACTCCTAGTCTATGATATAACAAAGAAGAAAACGTTTGACAACGTCCAGAGGTGGCTTCGCGAACTAAGAGATCATGCTGATTCCAACATCGTCGTCATGATGGCTGGCAACAAGTCAGACTTGAATCACTTGAGAGCAGTCTCAGAAAACGACGGCCAGGTACTTGCCGAGAAAGAGGGGCTTTCTTTCTTGGAGACGTCAGCACTAGAATCACACAACATCGAGAAGGCATTTCAAACAGTTCTCACAGAGATTTACCACATCGTAAACAAGAAGGCACTTGCAGCCCAAGAGGCGGCGAGGACTGCAGTGCCCCCAACTCAAGGAACGACCATCAATGTATCTGATTCTGCTGGAGGCTCAAAGTATGCTTGTTGTTCGAGTTAGGCGATTATTGCCTTTTGAAAGAGTGCTTGAACAAGAAATTTGTGTCTCCAGGATGAAAAATTGTTTGTAGATTATTCTTCTATGTTTGACGCGTGATTTGGAGAACCTGGAAATTAGATTTTCTTTACTTTTCCTCGGGAAAATTCTGTCGGTAAAAGACACGGATGACATGTGTAGTGTGCAAATCGTTTTCTTCTTGTTTTCACTTGGATCTTCCTTGTGAAGGACACACTAAAAATGAATGTTTCTCCCTTTTTGTGCTGTTCATCCGATCAACTGATACTGAATTTGTCTTAGCAGATTCATGTACGAGTTCATCCTCGATGCATTTGTTTCCGGTTGTGGTCGACCACCATGGCAAGTTCAAATCTGACGCTTAAATCTGTTTAGCTGTATAGCTCAGTTACTGCACAAGGGAAGGGTGAATCATCAAACATTCTTCACTTGCATGATTTTGCCTAATGATCGGAAGGAGGCTTCCAGTTGTGTAGTAATTCTTCCTCCTCCTACACTTGAGATTTGTTTCTGGTTTCCTTTTTCTGAATCTTCCTCCTCTCGTGTCATGGCCGTCTTCTTGCCCCAAACTCATATCTTCCAACTCATCCGAAAACGCGCGTCTTTGCGGTGGAGGAGGGCAGGCGGGTCCCCGTCTCCATCGCCACCACGTGATGGAAGTCGCCATGGTCAAAACTGAGTCAGCAATCGCATTGAAGAACCACCACTTACCATGTCCCATCGATGGAGACTTCTCCTCCCTCCACCTCCGCTTCCACTGCCCTATAAATACCACACGAGATGGGTCAACCGCAAAGTATCGACGAGCCGCCCAGCTTCAAGTAAGTGTTCGTCGACGATGGCAGTCCCTCCCCTGATCCCCCTGCTCACCCTCGCTTCCGTCTTTCCCTTCCTCCGCCAACGACAGCAACGTTCTGCTCACCGGCGACGCCCTCGGCGCCGACGAGCAGCTCTCCTACGGTGCCGCCACCTTCGTCATGCAACGTGACTGCAACCTCGTCCACCACGTCGAAGGCCGCCGCGTTTTCCAGTCCTACACACGCGGCCATGGCGTCAGCCGCACCCTCTCGCTCACCGACTGCGGCCAGCTCGTCATCACCAGCTCCCTCGGCAGCTCCATCGTGTGGCGCTCCCCGTTCCTCCGCGGGGCCAACAGGGGGAAGTACGCGGCAGTGCTCCGACCCGACGGCGTGGTGGCTGACTATTACTACAAGAACTATTACGCGAGTGACGATTACTACAAGAACTTGTGGAGCAGCAACAACGCCTCGAGCATCGGAGACTATGCGCTTCTTCTCCAGATCAATGGACAAGCTGTTGTCTATGGACCAACGGTGTGGCTGACCACTTCCTCCCCAAAGAGCCTCCTCGACACCATCTCTTCGTCCCCAGAGCCACCCATCGCCACCTGATCTGCTGCTAGAAGCAGAAAGTGCAGCATGCATGCAGTGGCTTGTTGATTATGTTTACGAGAGCTTGTACTTGACACTACAACTTCCCAAGAAATAAAAATGATGCACGAATAAGCATCATTTATAGTGCTAGTATGGACTATGGTTCCTTCCCTCCCAAAAACACACTTCTCTTACAAATTTGGTTTATAACTAAAGTGAATCTACTTCTACCAATTTAAATTTAAATACTTTAATCAATAATTCAAACTTATCAAATTAGTTGCCGACTTATATAAATAGTAGATGGACTTGAATCTAACCAGGTAGCAAAGGCAAATAAAATTATTTAAAAGCTGAATATTATTTTCCTATTAGTATATTTTAAATTAGACAATTTTTTAAAAAGCTTAGGTTTTGACTTTCGAAAATATTTTAGACAAAAACTCTTAACTTTCATAATTTCACATATAACACCCTAATTTAAAAAAAATTTAAAACATTCTTTTTTTTTTCTAAAAGTAATCATCGTATTCTCGTCAACCACCGACCCTTCGTCTCATTAGTCATTTTCATCCGAGGGTTTGACAAGGACATAGAGTTAGATGATGAAAGTAACATAGCGAGAAGGCAAGATCTATGACAATGGATCCCATGAAGACAGAAATAAAATAATCCTTTCATATGATTAGGGGCGTTAAATTTTTTGAAAGTTGAAATGTTCTACAAAACATTTTAAAACTTATGAACCTGTTTTCTGCAATTCGTCCTTTGACTTTTTCTCCAAAAAGCACTCCTTTTTGTTGTTTTTGCCCTTGTAGAACTTTTTAACTTTCCAATTTTACTCTTCCAACTTTCTTTATTTTTATCTTTTTGGTGGTTCGATCCATATGTTTGGTTCAACAAATTTTAAACAGGATAAAAATAATTTGAATCAACTCAAAATTTTTTATTAAATGATTATTAAAGACAGACTCATGAAATAAAATTTTAAATTTAGCATAAAACATTAAAAATTATAAAATAATTTAGAACAAATGTTTCATATTTTATATTTAAATATCCTTTTGATTTTATAATGTTCATTCACAATGGTTCTATCCAAATTAGACTACTTTGGATATGAACCAATGACTCATCCTATGAAAGCGATACTGAAATTTAAATTTATGTTAAATAATTATGTATACAAATATTGTTTACAAAATAAATGAATTATATTTTTTAGATCTTCAGACTATTTTTTTTGTAAACATTATAATTTTAACTTAATTATAAATTCAAATGTTTTTAATCATTAATTTAGTTGTATTTTATTGGTTGGATTAATTCTTGACTTATTGAATAGGACCAAGTGACAAACCAATACAAAAAAAAAAAGAGGGGAAAAAGTAAGGATGAACAATGTCGAAATAAAAAAAAATAAGAACGTTATGCAGGATAAGTGAAAATTGAGACATCCTTTATTAAAAAACAAAAATTCAAAGAAAAACTTTTTTCAAAAAACTCGTTATTTTTAAATTTATTCTTTATAGTATATAGATATGCTGCGTACGTGAACTTTGCACGTCGACATGCGTCATCAAGCGCATCGCGCCTTGATCACCCACTCTTGCAATTATGCATGTAAAGAATTAAATTGGTCGAACCGAGTAAGTGTATGCTTGTACTCTTACCAGACTGAGATGGATCAAATGTAGCCTTGCGTCAAACATACCATATGCGAAGGCTCGATCTATGCGTTTTTGCAACAAGGATTTTAATTTTGAATGATATCTCATATCTTACGGTACATACCAATTTGTCAGTAGATCGATATATGAATCGTTCGTTATTAGGCGATACGTCATCAAGCGCATCACGCCTAGGTCATCCACTCTTGCGATTGTGCATGTAAAGAATTAAATTGGTCGTGAACCGAGTAAGTGCAAGCTTGTACTCGTACCAGACTAAGATGGATCAAATGTAGCGCTACCCCAAACATACCATATGCAAAGGCTCGGTCTGTGCGCTTTTGCAACAAGGATTTTAATTTTGAATGATATCTCGTATCTTGCGGTACGTACCAATTTGTCAGTAAATAGATATGTGAATCATTCGTTACTAGGCGATACGTACCAGGGTGCCAGTAGATCGATACACGAATTATCCACTATCAGGTGGTACTATCGATTTGGGTAATTTTCGCCCCATTACCGTAGCAGATGGTATTAGCTTAGGGAAAAGAAAGAAGAGGGAGAAGAAAAGGAAGAACTTGGAGATCCGATGTAGCTCTCCCTCGACGATTCTGATTCGTCGTTGCCCTCCCTCGCCAGACACTATAAATGAGATATCGCATCCTCCTCATCTGAGGCGACGAGGCTTTCGTATCGTCGATAACTTTTCTTTATTTATATGAGGGAGAAGAAACCTTGACGAGGAAAAGAAACGACACATAAGGAGAAGAAACTATCTTTTCTCCTCGCGGTTTATTTTCCTTGCATGCGGAGAAAAAACGAGACGACATATATATATATATATATATATATATATATATATATATATATATATATATATATCAAATAATACGCTTTAATACGTTTGTATTGTACCGAGCTGAGATCGAATTTTCAATACCATACGAAATTGCAATCCTTACTTTGCGATTCCAATCTCAAGCAATTCTAAATCTAAATTCCCGCGGCTTGTGACTACATGGCTGTCTACCATTCTTGGCTTCAAACCCTGGAACCGGAACCTCATGGTTTTGGCCCGCATCATCACCAGATCAGCACCATATAACTCAACTGCACCTTTTCCACCTCTGCTCTGCTACTGCTGCAGTAGATACAGCGTCGTCATTACTTCTAGCACTTTCTTCACCCCTAAAAGGGCCAGTCCCTGCAGGGGAAGAAAAGAATGCTTGGAAATAATAAGCTCGTGACAGATGAACGCCACACCCGGTCGCTGTGTATAGCTGGCAAGCAAGCAAACACCACATGGACCACACAATTGGCTGGTGCGGTCTCGGGTCTCAGGCCAAGGCTCAGTAGCTTAACCCATGTTGCCGTCATTAGTCCAGTATGATATCCAGCCTTGTCTGAGCCCAAGGCATGTCATTTAACGCCACCCACTAGGCCCATTCAATGCACACAAGGTGGTGGTGACCCGAGGAAACAGCCAAAACAATTACTGCACCCTTGCCTTGCTTTACGGCAGAGCTCTTGTCACGACCGGAAACAGAACCTGCTCCCTCCCTCCCCCACACTCTGCATGAATCCATGCCTTGGTACTATTAGAAGCTCCATAATACACTCGTCGGTCACTTGAGGGCTCTCCCCCTTTGTGTGTCATGCGCAGAGGGCTTTCAGTGGAATACAGCCTCCCTGACATAAATGAGATCATGTGCATGGAGATGGAGGTAGAGACAAAGGTCCCAGCTTTGCGATCGTCCCGTCCCACATTGGTCGCCTGTGCTATATAATCTAAGCCACCCTCCGTTGCACCTGCTCACAGGGGAGGTGAAAGAGGAAGGGCAAGATGAGGGGAGTTTATCTGGAAGCCATGTGTTGGTTGGCAGTGGCGGTAGTCCTAAGGTCAGGTACTTGCTCCCCTGCCATTGCTTCCACACAAGATGAGCGTTATCTTGCATCGCCTTATTACGCATACCCACCTGCCTACGGCCAACCATCTCCACCCCACTATGGCCAGCCACCTCCAACTCCGTACGGGCAGTCACCACCGCAGTATGGCCGACCATCTCCGCCGCAGTATGGACGGCCACCACCACCTCCCCGACATGGCGGATTACCGTCTCACAGGCCACCACCACCTGCTCGTAAGTCGCCGCACCATAGGTACTCACCACCCTCACCCTCACCAGGCCACCCTTCACCTCACTACAGACAGCCGCCACCACAGTATGGTCGACCACCTCCACGGCAGGGAGGTCCACCACCGTCTCCACCTCATCATGGACATAGGCCACCCTATCACAGAAAACCCCCACCTCATCACATAGTACCGCCACCTCAACATGGACAGCCCTCACCACCACCACAGTATGGACAGCCATCGCCACCACCACAGTATCGCCAACCACCGCCACCGCCACAGTATGGCCAACCAGCACCACCACCCTCCCACAAATGCCCTCCAACTCACAGGAGACACCCACCTCCTCCACAGGGACGGCAACCACAACCACCACATTATGGCCGTCAACCACCTCCTTATGGCCAGCAGCCACCTTCACCGCACCATGGTCATGCACCAAAGAAACCACCACACAGACAACCATCTCCCCCGCATTCAGCACCTCCGTATGGCAAGCTGCCACCTCCACCGCACCATGAACATGCACCAAAGAAATCACCTCCGCCACATGCATGGCCCCCGCCACAATACAGGCATCCTCCGCCACAGTATGGGCAACCACCATCTCCAACTCACCGGAGACATCCACCTCCGCAGCATGCACGGCCTCCACCACCACCTCATGGAAAGCCACCATCACCGCACCATGGTCATGCACCAAAGAAACCACCGTCTCCACCACATGCACGGCCATGTCCACCGCGGCGAGGACAAACACCACCCCAGTATGGACCTCCATCACCACCATCTCATGGAAAAAGACCCCCTTCCCCATCGCCAACTCCACCATCTTACGGTTACCCGCCACCGGCATATGGATCGACACCACCGGCGGGAAGCTATCAACCGCCTCCTCACCATGGCCGGGGTCCACCACGACGGTAAACACCACCAGCGCAGGGGCAGCCATCTCCTTCACGGCAGATGCCATCTCCGCCATCGCCCTACCAGCTGTCACCGTCACCACCCTATCTATAGTAACTATCAGGTCTCAATGGCCAGCGTAGTAGCAAGAGGTCGTTTGCTTAGGTTTCACTTGCTGATCTTCATGCATGTCTTTCAGGCTATCTATGCAATCGCAAATTATGAATCATCAATAGTTATGTTTTTCCAATCAACAGGTTGGTGTCCTCTACTCTTAACAAAAACAACCGTATGAACGATGTGGAATAATCCACAATATGCGATGAAGTAGGGTTCTGAAATTGGTACTCTGCAGCAAACAAAAAATGACACAAGGAACCAAATTTTCGTCATTCCTCATATTCAGGAAAATCTTTTAATATCAAAGGATAAATAAACGAACAAAACTCTATGCAACAGCTCCCTAAGAATGTGGAAAAGACTCTCTACGGCAATGTGCTAGTGCAAATACATCCTTAAAATGAGTAGAAAAGACTCTATTAGAACAATGTGCAATTAAGGAACCAAAACAGCATGAAACAGACAAAAAAACATCATCCATGCATAAGATTAAAGGATCCTCAGCCCAGCAAATTTAGTAATGCCTAGCCCTTCCTAGTGTTGGAAGGTAAAGCCTGATTGATAGCACCTGAGGTTCTGCTAACGGATAAGCAAGAACAGAGAAACTTAGAATACCAATGCTAAATGTGGCTTTATTAGTGAAATACCAGCAAAAAAAAAGATTTGTACAACAATGAGTTCTTCCACGTTGAAGGCCAATGTGATTAACAGTGTATTCTGTGGGCATCAAAACCGTTGTAAGCCCCAAATTATACGATTAACTACGTGCATTTGGCTTCGAAGAACCTCTATCTCATCTTTGTGTATTTGTATCCCAAAATTCCCAGCCAAAACTTGCACATCCTAACCTCTTATGCGTATCTGGGCTTCCCCAAAAAATTCGTAAGCATTCATCCTTCAGTACCTATTATTTTGTACCGGTCCTATAGTTTTACCAAGAGAATGCAACAAACTTAGTTTAATCTTCTTCCAGTAATTCCTATATTTTAATCGTGCTCCAATCTAACAAAAATCAATTTTCATTCTAAATATCATCAACATTCTCACCTCTCAGAGTGTGCTACTTTACTTAAACGTAAAGTTTTCAATAAAAATGCTTCAGATTTAGCAATGAGATTAGCTGAAGCTGTTGGATTTGAAGGTGTCTTCCCTTTCCACCATATAATATATGCACCCTCACATATAATTCCCATCTATGTCCCATCAATTGACTTTACCAGCTCTGCATTCTAAAATTTTGTGTTTGTTCCGAGCATCATCTAGTGTAAGAGGGCAATATAAATAAAGAGAACTTTCTGAACCTGAAAATTAGCATAATCGAAGAAGTCAGAGCTAATAGTGGAGAAATAGCCAAGTTTAATTGATCCAAACATAAATTTACTAGGTTTAAGCTTCTTCGACTCTGTCTATGCAAATATCTGAATTTGAAGGGTGAAAGGTTGACAGTGCATGCATTTCTAGCAATCCTTTACAGTGACTATGACATCTTAGATTCTTGTTATTCAATGCTACACTGTGCAGGAACTTGAGATAATATAGATGTAGATGTAGTATTGATATAATATTTCCATGAAATAAAAGATTTTAGTTTTACATGGTCCTGGTTGAATTGGCACACCCGATAAGATTTGTTCTTAATCCTCAAAGTAAACTACACAAACCTTGTTACATAGAAACCGGAGTTTTGCCAAGGCATACTAGCCGATCAGTAAGGATGCTTTGTGTAGATGAACATGGATCACGACCAGCAACATATATATTGTACATAATCAATCGACTGTGCTAACAAAAAGCAGGGTATTGTACGTGTTCAAGACAAGTTTGTCAACTGTTTGAAGACTGCTTTCAACAAAGAAGTGACTGCATTCAAAACAGTGCAACTTTTTAGGATTAAATTCAGATAGAGCATATCAAAACACAAAAATGCACTTTGATTATGGACATATTACAGAAAATCCACCATTATCCAGTGAAGGATGCTAAGAAATGCATAATAATGAACAAGTGTCTCTGTGTTTCAGTGTGGGCACAGGCTTATGCAACTGTTCAAATGCCAATATTGCTAAATTCTCATGACTTGATCTTATAAAATTCTCTAAATATTACCAGATATCACATAATAGACAGCTGACTCCACACACAAGACCCAAACGAACACATCGTATGCCAACATCCAGTAGGAAACACAGATCAAGAAGCAACGTTAACTAGTATATATATGTGCAAATGGTACTTGAAAGCTGTATATGCGTCATAACACCTCATTATAATCCCACATCGGAAGTGAGACACAATAGTAAAGCAATCCATGTTGTATATGTAATCCATCAATCTATATGCTTATAGCCAGCCCCCAATAAGAACACATAGTAAAGCAAATATTACATCAATCAAGAAAACCACTTTTACCGAAGTATGTATAGTTACACATAAGGAATAGAACCGACGGTAGACATATCATTTAAAAAGGGAAGAACTAAACCACAACAAGTTTATCATGTGCTCCTTAAACAAACCTTCTCCTTAACTAGTTGCAAAAGATGGATCTAAGTAATGGATTATGATAACTATAATCATATTGGCGATCGACTCTGGTGTTATAGTAACAGATTAGCAATGATCGCCATAATGGGAATGTGAAACATATTAATCGAGATGAACTAGCAACCCTCCCATCTAATCAAATACATTGGATTAAAAGAGCAAATAAATGTATTCCTTCCCTTCTTGATTCGGATCCGATAAGAAATCATCGGCAACCAACAGAGAAAAGAAAACACTAGATTAACTCTTTTGTACCTAGTCTCATTAATTCCAAATATCGGTTTGCAATGTACGATCAAAGAAGACGGGGAACGTTGTCCAATGTCCAGGACAATCACGAACTTTTGCAAAGACGATGCACTGCGGAAGGGAGATGAAGGGGGAGGAAAGAAAGGAATGAAAGAACGCTACCTCAAAGGAGTCCGGGATCGGACCGCCGCGTTCCTGGCCCGACGAAAGGAGATCGGCATCGAGAGGAGAAAAAACTTCATCATCCGGCTGTCAGGCGGAGTAAGAGAAGATCGCCCGGGTCTCTCTTTATAAAGCCGGGCCATGGAGTGTGGGAGAACGTGCTGCCACGTGGAGACAATTCATTGGTTGGTCGTCAAATTCCGTTGTGGCCAACTACCCCACGGCCTGGCTCGCAAAAACGGCAACGAATTCTGACAAGCGGGGCTCGATCTCAAGTGTGTCCGTGGCGACACGAGTTTCTTAAGATATTCGAGACCCGTTCGTCGTGCATCATTGGGACCCACATCAGTGTGAATGGTCCCACGAGACCTGTCCAATTAAACGGCAGTTTTCAGTGAAATATGACTGGATCCCGACAGATGCTTGAAAGAATCATTTTATATTTACAACAATCATCACTGTCACAATCATCATTGTCTTTATCCATTCTAGAAAAAAATCTGTCACGACAAGTCGATGTAAAACCACTTCAAAAAAAAATTATCACAAGATTGTTAGAAGATAAAATATGTCTAAGACATATAAATCGATAACACATGACATTTCTTGTAATATAAAAAATATTTTTAATCAATGATAACTTACACATAACTACACATATGACAACTTAGTTGGCATAAAAGAGATAAAATCTATCCCTTTGGTTTGTTCACGTAGACATTAATATAAAAAAAATATCATAAGTTATCTATAAAAAAAAATTATAAAATATTTTTTTTCGTCTATATTATGACTAACTTAAATATCAAAAAAATTCCAATCAAAAACTCGTATCTAACCTCGATCTTCGTTCAAATTATTCATAGAGCACATAAGTATATCTATCTTCGATCTTGAAACAACTTTAGAAGTATCTTAACGGTACATCATCCTTTCTACGAATATGGACATGTCGAATTGACTAGAATGTTACTGATTTTCCCTAATAATGAGATTAGACTATAATAACTAATTTATTACCGCATGTAAAGATAAAAAACTATTATGAGATCTCAAGATGCTATGCCCAATATAATCCATCTAAATTCAATTTGTATTGTATCTCACCACATAATCTCTCATGTTCATGCAGATAAAAGGTGAGCCAACGCTTTGTATAAAATAGGTATAAGTGTAGCCCAATTAAAAGATATAAAATAGGTATAAGTGTAGTCTTGACGTGTTGTTATGGCATGCATAGAACAAACTAATATAATGGCACTCAAATAAAAGATGACTGGTTATCCTATAATATTATCATTATCATGGCTACATAAATAATGATTAATTAGTTTGACATGAATAATTATAATTTCCGAACACAAAAATGGTTTATCAGTTGATCGAAAAATAATATATAGATCTAGTTGATGTCTTTTTGAATCGTGTTTTCAAATCTATTTATCATCATAGATATATCATGAAATATATTTAGAGATAAGAAAAATGATACAGTAATAAAAATTTCATCTCTAATAAGCTAAGAAAAATCATAACAAAGCAATTATATTGGGCTTTAAGAAATAATTTATGATGTTCGAACATCGTAAATTGATATGCACAAAAGTGATAAGTAAAAGGATAAATTTAATATTCTTTTAGTTTATGTAACATATTAAAATTAAAATAGTTAGAAACAAAAAAAATGTTAAGATTATCTTTTTACCTCCACTTGTACACCAATCCAATACGCGAATACATATTTTATTTTTCATCAATATAATTGACGATATCAAGACAAATAAGATTATTATTTTTTTTATAATTATAAATATTTTAATATAATTTTTTTAAATATAAAGATCATGATATTTGATAGGGGTAAAAAACTGATTTGACGTAACCCCCGGATTTGACGTAATACACCCCCACGTCGGACACCCTGGGCGGCGCACTGCCTCAGAACGAGCATTAACAACGACACGACACGCACCCACACCCACCGTACCCGAACAACCTCCTCGGTTGACCCCTCGCGGTCGACCGAGGCAGGCGAAGGCGCTGACTGACACCCCCCATACCCTGCAGCAGCTCAGCCTTCCACGCGGCGTCCATGACGACGACAAACGCCGTCAGAGGTACGACCCTGCCCCGACAGGATGACACATCAGGTAACATCAAACCCACTTATAAATACCCCTTGGCTCCCAACGGGCAAGGGGAGAGATCACTCAAAAACTCCTCTCCACCATCACTAACTTGATCGTCGGAGGGGTCGGGCCGAGCAACCGACCCGACCTGTGTGCAGGTACTCGACCGCTGCTGAATCCACTTGGCGCCGCAGAACTTTCTAGCCAGATCCCCTGTGTCAGCCACCACAACATCCCGAGGGAAGCCACGTCTGATCCCAGCCATTCGGAGCCCTGAATCAACCGCGTCGACCCAGAGGTCACGGCTAAAAAAGTTACTAATCCGTAACAATATTAATAGAATCTAAGTATAAAATAATATGTAATTAATCCCTATAGTAAAATATTTGATTTTAACACTTAACGAATATTTTTCCTTTTCTTGAAGGAAAGAAAACTTCGTAATCAAACATTATTACAGTACCTAATGTCAACGTCAATGTCCGTTCATTCTCTTAACCTTCCCTTCTCATCCCCACAAACGACACCGCGGTCAATAAATAGGGGACGAATCCCGCTTCCGCGAGAGTGGCAGTAAGATCGTCAGATCCGAGCTCGGCGATCGGTGCATCGAACGCCATCGTCGCCCCATCACCAGATCCGAAGCTTCACATCACACCTTCTTCGCATCCCGCTCTCCGTCTCGACCTCGAGCTCGGAAGAAGCATGACGAAAGGCTTCGCCGAGCTCTTCAGTTCCCGCCTCTTCGTCAAGATCTCCGCTCTCGCCCTCACCGCCATCGTCTCCTTCTACCTCGGCCGTCGTTGGTCCGACTCCTACCCCCAGCTCGTCTTCTTCACCAGCGGCGGCGCCTCCGACCGCCTCGCCTCCCCCTCCGTCGCCGTTTCCCCCAACGCCAACCTCACCCTCGACGTCTCCGCCCTCGCCTCCAACACCACCCTCCTCCCCGGTGACGCTGACGCCCTGCCGCCGCTCGATGCTGATCTGCCCCCGTCCTCGCCGCCGCCGGAGGCGCGGAAGGTCGGGATCGTGGATGCGAACGGCACGATGAGCGTGGGCTTCGACGCGGGGGAGCTTGATCCTGATATGGCCGACGGATGGGATGACGAGGGGTCGGCGATTAATGAGACGGCGGGCATGGGGAGCGGGGAGGGGGAGAGGAGGGCTAGGGTCAAGATAGATAAGTTTAAGGTGTGTCCGCAGGAGATGAGGGAGTGGATCCCTTGTATGGATAACGAGGAGGCCATCAAGAAGCTCAATTCCACAGAGCGAGGGGAGAGATTCGAGCGGCATTGTCCGCTCGCGGGGAAGGGGTTGGATTGTCTAGTTCCGGCGCCACAGGACTACAAGAAACCAATTCCATGGCCCCAGAGCAGAGATGAGGTTGGGAACTCTCTCATGCCGAATTTTGTTGGATAATTGATTGCTTCAGGCGACTTGATCCTTCTTCTTGTGGTAGACGTAGCTTATGATTCGCTTCTAATAACTCAGTTTACTGCTGCATATTTGTGATAGCTCGAGATATCATTGACAAGCATGGGTAATTTTTATTTGGTACTGGTTTCCATAAGCTCTCTCTTAGATGACTCTTTTCCATTTTATAATTGCATGTTTTATATTGTTTAATCAGCAAGACATAATCAGCATAGTGACTTTTGAGCAGTGAAACTTTCCTATGGTTGTTAATTAGGGCAAGATGCAACTAAGTTGATGTCAACTAAGTTAAGAAGCAAATCAAGAGTAGTGGCTTGGTTCTTGATTCAGATTTGATTTGATTTTGTCATCGTCTGAATTTAACTGGATCTCGGGAACCATCGATGGTTTGTCCAAGTATTGTGGGACTAGGTAAAAACCAAGGGATCAAACTTGGTTGTTACTATAGAATCTTTTAGAGGATCCTTTGGGTCGAAGAAGGGATCTTATCTTTGGAACACTGGAATTTTGTATGGTGATAAAGTTTTAGATTCTGATGTAGTGGTTTCATATATGACTTAAGTTTGAGATAGTTTATTGAGTTAAGGCCTCATTTGAAGGTTGTCTCTAGGAGGGGTAAGATCCAGATTGACGTTCTCCTAGTAATATAATTTTGTTGTGGCCTGACAAATAGAGATGGGCATATAAACACCTTAGGCACAGGTAACCTAATATCAAAATTTTCAGATATCAACGTGACTCAACAAGCCCATAAATTTAATTGCTGAGAACACTTGATATTCATTGGGGTCCAGAATTTTGATTTTATGGTATATGCATGCTCTGCTGTGATTCAACTGTTCCATAAGGATCTTCGGACTAGAAACTTTGATCCATAAATACAAGCTCTGACGGAAGTTAGAGACCATGCGAACTTTTAATTATCCAGATTAGAAACTTTGATCCATAAACACAAGATCCAATGGAAGTTATAGACCATGTGAACTTCTGATTATCTGTAATTAATATTCCTGTATTTTTCCTTCTCATATTTTTCTTACTATAGATGTCCTGCTGTGCTGCAATATCAGGTATGGTATAGCAACGTACCACATACACGCTTGGTCGAAGACAAAGGAGGACAAAATTGGATCTCTAGGGACAAAGATAAGTTCAAATTCCCAGGAGGTGGGACCCAATTTATCCATGGAGCAAATCAATATCTGGATCAGATTTCTCGGGTACTATAGTTTTCATAAGTCCAAAGATGTTTAGACTTTAATTTGCTGATGCTTTTAGGTTTCTCTCTGTATCTATTATCTGTGTGCTTATTTCTTTCACTAGATATGCAGATGGTTCCAGATATTGCATTTGGCAATCACACACGAGTTGCCCTAGATGTTGGGTGTGGTGTAGCTAGTTTTGGTGCCTTTCTACTCTCACGCAATGTGGTCACCATGTCTGTGGCTCCAAAAGATGTTCATGAAAATCAGATTCAATTTGCTCTTGAACGTGGTGTGCCTGCTATGGTCGTAGCTTTTGCAACACACCGTTTGCCATATCCAAGCCAGGCATTTGATCTGATTCATTGTTCAAGATGTAGAATAAACTGGACCCGTGATGGTATGTTATTCTTTAGTTCCCTGAAACATATTCTCAGTAATTCGTATTTATCATTATTGGAGCATGTAGGGACACACAATACAATCGCAAGTATTGTACTTGAAAGTATCGAAACATTTTGTGTTAAGTACTGACACCATCATACCTATATCTTTTTCCTTGCATTTACTTGTCAGGCTCTGTAGAAATTGTTTAAAAATACCTTTGGCTTATTTTATTATCCAAATACACAGTGCAGAAAGGCTAGAGAACATACTCCTAAGTGACCTAAGAAGTGCTTTATAATGTTTGTTAAAGAATAGCTGCAAAAAGAATCTTCAATTTAGCACTCAGATTTTTCTGATGACGGGGGCATATTTTAGTTATAATTTGCATTTTTAGTTGTTGTTCAAGTACTGTAGTTATCTATTACTACTAATTCTGGTTTCGTAATAAGAACATGTTACAGATTTTCACTTTTGTATGAAACTCAATTTGATTCATTAGTTGTATGTAAGAAGACAAGATTCAAAGTAGTCTTCTTATAAAAATGTGATAATAAAATTGCATATTACATTCAACATTTCCACCAAGGTAGCATAGGGAATTCTTTATGAGCATGATTGACTTTTTTATTATGTAACTCAGGTTTTCTGTAAGAGACCTAAACTAGACCCGATATATCCTCGGAAGCCTGTTATCAATTAGATATTTGTCCACTATTTTTAAGACCCATGTAACTAAGTCTTGCTCTTCTTCGTGCTAAAAGCATGCTTCTTCATGTCATTCTTGGGATAGTTCAAGTGTTGTGCTATGCCTCCTTAGATGTATCATAGACTGAAAATGCACACTGTTTTAAGTTTCACTTGCTGCGCATTTTAGATTTTCTCTTCAATATAATTTTTTTTTAACTAAAAGGTATCAAGCCGTATAGTTATGTAATAGTTGTACAAGACCTGAATCACTTTTCCTTTTCATATCAGAGATATTAACCTAATAAAAGTTTGAATTTTTTATACTGTAATGTTCAAAATAATTTACTAATCAACTGATTTATTTATCGATACTTTTGGTGAAGATGGGATTTTGCTTCTCGAGGTCAACAGATTACTCAGAGCTGGAGGGTACTTTGTTTGGGCAGCACAACCTGTTTATAAGCATGAAGAGATCCAACAAGAGGCATGGAAAGGTATCTCCTTCCTAAATTATAATTCTATTCAGTCTATGTATTGTCTATATTGTACCATAAAATTCACAGGCTGCAACTCAATATTTCTTAAGCAATGATAGGGTTGTAAGGTTCCAAGGAGAATCTGTAGTCTCATAAATAACAACAAGAACAACAAGCCATAATGGAAAAACTATCTGGAGTTGGTACATGGATTTTTGCCCTCATTAAGCTCTATACAAGATGACATCACTGGTCAAGTCAAGGCATTCAGAAAACCTCATAAACCTCCTAGCATGCTGGAAATCAATAATTTAACCTGGGTACAGTTCTGCATCATATAAGCTTTCTGTTGTCAATGATTATGATATTTTTTCGTCCATCCACTAAGTGATGAAAAAATGATGTTTTGTATAGCCTATTCTTTTTCAATGAAATAATAAATTGGCTTTTGTAGTTTCATTGCTATCATCATTAGCTTTTGATGTGTGGCGTGCCTAGGTAGTGCAATTCCAAACCATCTATTTATTATACTGTATAATCATCCAAACCTTTTCCTGTCAATACATATAGCATATATCATCCCAGAAGGTTTTCATGGAGACTTGAGGAAACTTTATGATGATATGATCAGCCGTGGACCTGACCACCCTCTGAAGCTTATTGTCCAATTTCCTATCCGATCTAAATCAGATGAGAGCGATTGCCTCAAACCTGCCAGACTTTTGTGCTGTAGGTATATCTTTACTTTTTCATGCAGTTTAGACTCATCAATCAGGGAGCATCTCTGAAGTGTCCTAAACATGATAGTAAGTTTTAGAAATGTCCTAAACATGATAGTAAGTTTTAGAAATGAAAGGTTCCACTGCAGCCAGAGAGTAGTAAGTGCAATATGTTTTAGAAGAGTCTTCCTGAAGGGTATTTTGTTCATCCATACCATGGATGGCCAACAGAAAATATAATATGCTTAAAGGCCATATGGAACGTGTCAATTGTGACGATTCTAACCACAAGTAGGAAAAGTGAGAAGAGATCATCTCACACATGGATAATTTGGGAATTTACCCTTTTGTTTCTGCATAATGTGCTTCTGAATTCTTATAAGATTCATCTTTCACTTTCTGTAATTGTATTACTGACACCATTGATTCATGTACAGATATGGAGGACCTCACAGCAAGTATTTGTTGGCAACTTGTGAAGAAGGAGGGTTATATTGCCATATGGCAGAAGCCTTTGAATAATTCATGCTACATGAATCGTGACTCTGGAGTCCAACCACCTTTATGTGATGCAAAGGATCAGCCAAACAAAGTTTGGTATCTTCATTAACTTTCAGTTAAAATTGCTGCTTAGTGGCAGGAAAGGTTAATAAATAATCATTTGCTATGTTGCTATCAGGTCCGATGGGTAACTGACCTTAACCTGATAGGACTGAACCACTTGCCCAAAATACTTAAAGTCAAAATTAATGGTCATAGATCTACGCTAACAGTCTAAACTAACTAAAATTTCCTCTCACTTACAATGTGGGGCTAAATTGGATATCGCATGCTAGGTGCAATGATAATTGTCCGTACCAAAAAAAGTTCCTTGACCAAAATACTCAAGTGATCATCATCAGATTTATCCTTGATTTTCTTGCCTATTGTACATGCAACAATGATGGAAAATCCTTCGCAAACACCAAATGATGCTTCTTCTAGTGTCATGTCTCATTGGGTGCTGAAGCAACATTTGCTACCCAGTATCAGAATTAAAAGATAACAGATGATATTCTTTCACTGATCATATCCGTTCGATGTATGACAGCGGAAAACTAAGTTTAAGCTTCTATATGAAATTTGAAAGGCTGTTATGGGCTTTGATTTTTATGAATGTACCACGTAACTTTTTTTCCCATGATCCTGCAATTTTTTTTTTCACTTATTAATTTTACACATCAATATTTTCTGTTTTATTTTTATATGCATTTTCAAGCTTGCAATCCCTCTAAACTCCATTTTCATACTTTTCAGCTTATCTTTCCAACGAGAGTGCAACCAATAAAGTATCATCTTTTAGTGTTAAAACCTCCAGATAAAGGAAATGAACATAGTTGCCCAAAATAAAACTAACCAGTGAAAAACTAAAAACAAATTTAATACAGTTTTTTAGGCATAAGAAATCATTTAATGGTGCACTTGTTTCTTGGGTGCTTAAAAAGCTCTATATTTTGGTTTGTTGGGTATAAGTATCAACATAATCATGACTAGGGTGCAAGAATCCGTTCACTGTTGCTAATGCCAACTGCATATTTATAATGCTTCTTGAATGGTCTCGATTCATCTTCATTTGTTTTGCTAGCTCCTTAACTTCTTTTAAGCTTCTCTCAGGTATGTTGACCTAAAACCATGCATCACCCGCCTTCCTGGAAATGGATTTGAAGCAAATGTTTCTTCATGGCCTGCTCGGTTTCACAATCCTCCACAAAGGCTCCAAGAAGTTGACATGGATGCTTATGTAGCGAAAAATGATCTTTTCAAGGCAGAATCAGCATACTGGAATGAAATTGTTGAGAGTCACATTCGTATCTTCCGTTGGAAAGAAATGGAGCTGCGTAATGTGATGGACATGAGAGCTGGTCTTGGAGGGTGAGTCTTTTGTCTTTGCAGTAACTCAAACTGAACTGTTGTGTCCTGGTATTCGGCATTTTTAAGTGTTGCAAATAACATGTGTACAAAACCAATTTCAAGTATAAAAAAAATTCAAAATCAGCAGTATTTTATTGATACTTATCAATTCCATGATGTTAACTAGGACTATTGTATTTGATGCAGTCATGACAAGTTTATGTAAACCCAAACTAGTACAATTTTGATGACTGATGATGAGTTAAAATTATTCCAGCGGACTAGTCTTAACTTGTATCCTTAGTAGAATACTTCTGCCAATTGATGATAAATAAACATTGTTAGTCAAGTATGTTAGAGAATTGAGAATATAGCTAATAGAGTTTTATCGCTTGCTTCATGGTTGTTCTTAGTCATACAGACATAAATCCACTGCCATCATAAAGTTTGCCTAAATTAATCCTCTTCGATTTTTCTGCTTCTGTAATTATGGATAATGCAAAATCCACATTCTCAACATTTTATTCTGACAGATATAATGCAATATACGTCACACGCATGCCTCTCTTTCTACGTGTTTGTCAATTTAGGAATATTTTATTATTCTTTTTGTCTGCCTTTTCTACATTCCTATCAATAATGTGCGTGTGCCTTCCTGCAATGTATGCCTAGCATATGGTTTAAGGGTAAGATCATTTTAAAGATAAAATATTATTCCATGAATATCAACTTTTTAATTAGTTACAGTACTGTGTGCGGCATCTCTTGATGAACACAATCAGATTCTATGTCATCCATAGATGACCACATGGTAGTGCCACTGTACTAAAATGAAGTAACTCTATGTTATTGTTTGAATTAACTCTCAAATTTTTACCTGCACAGAGACCTTCATCATTATGATCCTTTCTTTCAATGACTTGTGTTCTAGATTACATGCTTCTTTTAGTTTTGTTCCATGAGTTCATTACTTCAGTCTAACTGTGAGAAAAAATGAGGGTTATATTCATTCTGTAGTCCCAGATTCCAATGAGTTTTGCTTTTTGGACAGTGATCGGTTGCTACACAGTATAATATTTGTCTCAAGTTTGTTTCAGGTTTGCAGCTGCACTGATCAATCAACAAATTGATTGTTGGGTGATGAATGTCGTTCCAATCAGCGGGCCAAACACATTGCCGGTAATATATGATCGTGGACTTATAGGAGTGACCCATGACTGGTATGCTCGATGCACTATTTCAAATCTTTCTGATTTTTAGTATCATCAACTGGGTTTTCTTTTTTGAAATTTACATAATAATGTTGAGCTGAAAGTTTGCTGTAAATAAAGAAAGAAATTTTCTGCAACTCGATCAATGTAGATGTATCTGTTTTCCTCTTCATTTCCACGTTGTCTTATTCAGCTGATGTAAATTGATTTAGTTGCCCAACACAATCGATGTTGATGTATTTGGTTTTCCTCTGCATTTTCATATTGTCTGTCTTGTTTAAGTCTAATTTTCTCATCCATGTGACCTTGAATTTGGCATAACTACAGTAGTTGGCGTGTGAGGAAAATGACATGTGACATATATAACTCGAAAGGAATTTTATGTTCGGAAAGAGAGCTCTTCCTACAACTCTGCTATTTCTTATCTTAGTCAGGTCATTTATAATCTAATTAACAATCATGATTAAGTCATAATAATCTAATAAAGATTTGTGGTTAAGTCATTTACTTTTCTCATGACTCGTAACTAGCAGTAATGCATTTCCTTATGGGTAGTTTTATCTTGTCCCTTTCTGATTTGTTTTTATCTTACCAACAGGTGTGAGCCATTTGATACATATCCAAGAACTTATGACTTATTGCATGCATCTGGCCTATTCTCTCAAGAGCAGAAAAGGTAATTTGAACTCTATCGATATGTTTAGATGTGAACAAACATAGAATTCTGTCCATGTTTTCTTATCGATGTTATGGATATGATAGCTTGCCTTTCCTTCCTTGCCAATCTCACCATGATCATGGTGATTGAACACTACGCAGAATATTATGCCTATCGTGCAGAATATACATACAGATATTAGACCTGCAATGTGTTAAAGACTCCTTAAATTTCTCTGGCCCCCAGGTGCAACATCTCAAGCATCTTGTTGGAGATGGATCGCATGCTAAGACCCGGCGGTCGTGTTTATATTCGCGATTCAAAATATATCATGGAAGAGATTTTAGACATTACACTGGCCATGGGATGGAGGAGTGACCTGCGCGACACCTCTGAAGGCCCATATGCTAGCAGGAAGCTGTTGCTGTGCAATAAGCCATTCTCCTAGAAGTTTTGCAGGTTATTATATTTATTCTCTTTCGGAGGTTTTTTTTCCTTTCTCGTTACATTCTTCTGCACAATGGGGCGGAAGAGGTGTAGCTTCTGCATCTTTTTCGTCGCCAGTGAGTAGTAGTGGTTTTGTTGTAACAGCTAATCTTATTCTACTATAAAGAACGGTAATGTAAACATCTTCTGCATTTGTCACCAACTCTCTCGAATCAAGAATATCTCATCAAGCTGTTGTAAGATTTATGTTTAGCATGATCTGAGGGTGTTTTTTGCTTTCCACCGAGCACATGTGTATGCAATATTTTTCTGAACAATATTAACAAGTGATCAAGAACAAATCACACACTTACTCTACTTGCTGCAAACTGCCTGCTCTCTACAATTTGGTGATACATCAAATAAATTCACAGGAGAAATAAGATGTACATCGAATTATATATGTGTAATTGATGTTGATTGAAGAATTTAGCAAAGCTTTAGCTTAAGAATGCAAGTGGAATTCTGGATTCTTGGGAAGTCCACTAAGCCCATCGATCTACTTTAACGCCCAACACCGAGATTAATCGCACATCGTTCTTGCGATGTGGGCTGCAGATTTCAAACAAGTTAATAATATTTTTCGTACGTAAAGATACTGTCAACGAAATATGTCGAGAGTTTTTGTTGTTCTCCTCAGAGGAGAGGGCAGCGATGGAGGAGCACATGGTGGGAAGGGTAGCGTCGGTCATCGATGACAGGAGGTAAAGAATGAGGATTAATGGCTTTGGTGTGTGTGGAGCAAAGAAAGGTTGCATTGATTAAGCAGATTAGGGCATGGTATGGCAGATTATTAAGCACCCAAAAATGTTAGATATGTTTGTTTGTGAAGAGAACATGGAATCAGGAGGTGTGCCGATCAGCCTCCTATTTATTGTTGAACACTCTCGTACTCATCACCTCTCGGCCTGCTAATAAGACAAAAAGTGCGTAGTACACCAACGGCGGCGTCATTGTCTAAGAAAGCAAGCTGAAGAACTTGCATAGAGAGAAACCTACGTCACCAAAAACAAACTATTAACACAACAAAATCATCATCTAAATAATTTTTAGCTGCTGACAAAGAGTAAAATTAGAGTACATCCAAAAGTCTGATATACAAGAAGATTAAGCCGCCTAGTACTTGGTGGTAGGTGTCAAATGCAAATAGAATCACAAAGAGCAGGAAATCAAGGAAAGTTAAATCTCACTGTGGTGACCATAAATTAATGGCTAGTGGCCTTCCTTGCTCTAAGAGATTCCAGGGCCTTCTCCCGAAGCTTGATCTCAAGCTGCTTCTCCTCAGACTCTGTTTCTTCTGCGTCAGCTATGTGAGGACCCTTACTAGCCGCAGCTTCATCATCTGATTTGCCAGCATCACTGTGCTCTTTCTCAAAATCAGATGGGGGCATCACGGTATCCATCGGCCGCATTTTAAGCTTGCTCGCACGGCGTTCTAACCTCTTCTGGTGCTTCTCTTCGCGCTTTCTTCGTCTTTCCTCCTTGCGTAACCTTCTTTCTTCCTTCCTTCTTCTCTTAGCTTCCTTCTTAGCTTCAGGATCAGAATCAGATTCAGAACTGTCATCTGAACCCTTTTTATGCTCATACTTTTTATGCTTTCTCTTCTCGGAACTCCTGTTTTTGGGAGTATCAGTCCCTTCCAAATCCGAAGGATTGCTTTGACTGCTTGTCTCTTGTTTTCTCTTGGGTCTTTTGAAGTGTTTTGTATCATATTCCATTTCGTTCGGAGATTCTGATGAAACTTGTCGTACGTGTCTTGTAGGAAGATCCATATTACTGCCAGGCATAAATATGATTTGTCAAACATCCATGCAGCTACTAGGCTATGTTGACAAAGAACTGTTTCTACAGAAAAGCAGAATAAAAGGAGGGGGTGGAGGGAAAAGACGAATATTTCACCGTCTGTTTGGTCCAAGCCCATCAGACTTGTAAACTCAAATAAATATGCCAGAAGAGTTACAGAACTATTAAAAAAGATTTGACTCAAATAGAAGTTAAGCATTACCAATTCTAAACAGGTCCAAATAAACCAAAATGTAAATGGTGAGCCAATGTTCAGGGAGATTTGCATTCATTTTGGTAGACAATTGCTGCACCCACCATCTCTTTCAATTCTTGCAGGCTCAATGTTGAACTAAAAACTTACATGCTTCTCTCTGATACCTGTTCTTCCTCCACTGTGACAGATCCAACAACTATTTTATTCCTTTTGACTAGAAGCACTTCTTGCATAGTTTTTCACTACGCACTCCACCTTCCATTCTCTACATGCCACCCCAACATTCTGCCTTCAAAATCCTTAGATCTAGTTTTCTGTTGTTTCAGCACTGTTAAAACCTAGCAAATCTAACTTCAACTTGTTTTCCTTTTTAGGTGGACACTCACAAATTATTACACTGACTTACAGTCAAGAATGGTTCCTGTTGAACTGTGTTAACACTTACAGTCATGCTTTTAAAGGTTTAGCAGTTGTAAGTGTTTGCATGCCTATTATTCACCTAGATTAGCTAACAAGAATATCTACTTGGGTGCATCAGAAAGGGAACAGAAAAGGATATGGGGAAATTTACTTCAGGACAGAAGAAAACTATGAGAAACTAAGACAAAAGCAAAATATAGGATGTTGATCACCTGTTATGTTCACTTTCATTCTGTTTTAACTTCACATTTGTAGGATGACCTCGAGTACCTGGAGAGTGATCAACTGCTAATCCATTATACATATATCCAACTAAATTAATTAGCATGAGATATTTTCTTCTTTGCATATGCTAGTGAATTTTTACCTTTCTTGGATGAGGACTCAGTTCTATGATGGGCATCCTCCCTGATAATCAGAATGTGCATGGTCTTAGAATCAAGGAAAAAACTTTAAATTGCATAGAATGAAAGAAAAGGCTTTACCTGACAGAACTAGCTTGTTCCTCTTTGCCATTCCTTCCTTGGCTTTTGTGAAGCCTTTGCTTTTCAGTTTTTTTAGCGGCATTTTCAGCGACCCTGCAATATCATTTAGTGATCAATCCTTATCATGTCTATAAAAGTCTATGTCTAGAATGAGTGCAAACATCATTTGCAACATAGAAGCACCTATCTGTCAAAAAAGAGGCTAAGCTAAGAACATCTGTAGCAATATACCATAAAGATATGTTACACTCTCCATAAAGATGTCAAACTAAAGACAATGAGTAAACAGGAACTGCTATAAGAACTACCTCTCAGATGTATATTCATCCTGATATCTTTTGGAATCAAAGCCATTAGTTCTCCTATCAGTTTCCCTACTTGAATCTCTACGAGCCGGATTAGATGGGCTACCACTCATGTAAGGGCTCCGACTCCTGCACATATATTAGCAGTTCAGACATGGTATACAAACTGAAGCATTGGGAATAATCAGATAGCCTAAAACAGATAAGAATATCTCAGCATCAGGACCTCTTCCTTGCACCCAGAGACACTTGAGAATCTGCACGATAGATTCTTGGTGAATGCAGAGGAGACGTCTTTCTCTGTTGTGGAGACTTATGTGGGGCCGGTCTCCTCAGAGGAGACAAAGAACCATGCGTTGAAGGAGATAAAGGCCTGTGCCTAATAGGAGATTGGTCGTGCATCAGAGAAGGTGACCTCCTGGAGCGTGTCGGAGAGGGTGACCTCCTGGGCCGTGTCAGAGAGGGTGACCTCCTGCGGTGTATGGGAGATGGGGACCTCCTGCGGCGCATGGGAAATGGGGACCTCCTACGGCGCACAGGAGAGGGTGACCTCCTGCGGCGCATGGGAGAGGGTGACCTGCGACGTGTGGGAGAGGGTGACCTCCTACGGTGCATGGGAGAAGGTGACCTCCTGTTGCGCAAGGGAGAGGGTGACCTCCTGTTGCGCGAGGGAGAGGGTGACCTCCTGCGGCGTATGGAAGAGGGTGATCTCCTGCGGCTTTGTACTGGGGACCTATGGTGTGAGGGAGAAGGAGACCTACGGCGCAAGAATGATGGAGACCTTGATGATCTTCGTTGAATGAGTGGAGGAGATCTATGCCTTGATTTTGAAGGTGATCCTCGTCTACCATAAGGTGATCTGTGCCTCGAAGGTGACCAGTTATTCCGTGGGGAATATCTGCGGCGAGGAGAAATGGAACTTCGAGCTGTAGACTTGTGCCGCCTTTCAGATGGAATGGAGTGCCTGCCCGGAGAATGATACTGCCTAATAGGTGAAACTGAATGCCCTTGGGACTGAGATGAAACAGAGACACTCCTTGATCGTCCATTCCTGGTAAATGAAGGACAAAAGACTGTGTTTATTGCCAAAGAACCAACACAACAGACCAAAAGATATAGAGAAGAAACTTGTCTATGAAACAAATACATAAATTAGTTTCTCACAGACAACAAGCCAAGAATGCTTTAGAAGAAACTAACATCAGAGGGCTCCTACTAAATGAAACACAAATAGAAGACTTGCAAGAAAATAAACAGATGTTGCATCAAGTGAGTCATGAATTTATTAAAGCTAGTGCTAAATATCTAGTTCAAGAACTAACACTGGTCGTTTATGAATAAAAAATAAAAAAACTGACTACTAGATCAATAGAACTAGCTACACTTAAACAGAGGACAAAAATAAAATAAAAAAACCTAGAACTCCACATGGGTAATACAGGCAACACCATAGTTCTTCGACGACCAGCCGTGAAACATATTGACATGTTACCAAAAAGTTGAAATACTGACAATCATTTGACATCTCGCATAAATAAATTCTTTGAAGCAATGCCTCAAACTATCTTAAACTCAACAAACATACAATATAAAGATGAACATGATGATGCTTAACACTGCACTAACGCAAAAAAAAAATTTCAGCAAACCATAGCCCATAATTCCTTCCTATCATCTTTGCTGATTTAGATCTTTTTTTTATTTTGTTTACAAAAATCAAGTGACAATAAAAAAATTGACATCCATCCACAGACTCTTAAGGTGCGTATGAAAGTGAGAGAAATGAAAAGAAAAGAAAGGGGGAGAGAGTCATTCTCCATTCTTCATGAGACACTCATTGCTTCACTCTCTATATTACAACAACAACAAGTCATAATGTCCCTGTTATTGGGGTTTGTTTTCTACCAGTGAATTCTGTAAGGTAATGCCTACAATTAAGTCAAGAGCATTGTGACTTAGATTTTTCATGGTGCCCAATCTGGCCATTTATATGAATAAAGAGTG